TCCAAAATAAAGTAGGAAAGGAGGAGGAAGGGATATTAAGAGGTAGTCTTTAAATGGTCTTTTTAGCAGTGCATGCTAAAAGTGTTGGTCAAGGACATTAGGAAGAATAGACTATAAATGTTATTAGAGAAAAAAACACGAAAAATAAAATTTCACAGTATAAATTCATCACTGATGAAAATGCAGAAATATTTTCCAGTCCCTGTTCCATATAGACATATATGAGTGAGCTACAATAAATGGATCTTTTTTTCCTAGAGCTCTTCTACAGAAAAGATGCTCTGTGGCTCACTCAGACAATCTGAAATAAAAACTTCTTTTTTTTTTTTTTTTTTTTTTTTTGAGGAAGCAAGCTAACAATCCTGACGTGGCATTACCTGCAAACCGAAGCCATGTCCATGCTCCCCAGAAGGCAGCATAGCAGAATGGAAGAATGCAACCAAACCTTCTCCCTCCTTGAACCTGGATCCTGCAGACGTACAGCTGCACTATGGCTCCTGGGATAAGCACGGAGGGTATGGAGAGCTGCTGTCTGGTGGGGTCACCAAAACCACCCTGGATGGCGGAGACTGCAGCCAGGCCATTGCAGATGTAGAACAAGGCATCTGGCACTTCAGCACTGGTGCCACTGGGGAAGTTCTTGGACCTTGTGAGGAAGACTTTGGCAGCCATCAGCATGGTTTGAAGAGCTGAGCTGGACATGGCCTGGCCACCGACTGGAATCAAAACCTTCTCCCCGATGGAGTTGATAAGGCTGGCAAAAGTGGCATACATGGAGAGAGCAGTGCAAAGGCTGCAGGCAGCCCCCAGGAACAGGTAAGCACCTGGGGTTGGGATCTGGTGGATGAAGGCGATTGTGAGGATGATGAACGAGGCGTTTTGCAGCATCTCCAGGGTATCTTTGTGGGTTGACATCAGAAAGAGCATGCAGGCCGTGGCCAGGAAAAACCACCCTCCAAGCATTCCCAGCCTGCTCCCCTGAGTGTTGGCCAGCCCGAGGAAGGTGGTGAGTGTAAGCTCTTCCCAGGACATCACCAGCCAGTAGAGGCTGTGGACACCATACTTGGTGGTGTAGTAGACATCACCTCTCAGGTAACTGTAGAAGCTGGACAGCAGCTGGCAGCTGGAGATGATGGATATCCACGCTGCTCCAACACAGAAGGTCTTCATGTACCCAAAGAAGTAAAAGGCAAATAGAAAGGGAGAGACGGTATCGCAAATGTTGCCGAGGGCCATTGGCTCAGCATACTTTGTGTTCTTTTTCTTTTCTTCCCCAATGGCCTTGGAAGACCTCTTCTGTGCTGACCCCAGTAGCAAGACATTGAAGAGAGGATGCCCAAAGCCTGGGAGGACATACCGTTGTGTGATGCCCTTGAAGAGGAGAGCCACCGCTCCATACAACCCGCAGATGACAATGACCAGCTCAATGACACCTGACACTACCAGGGCCCACTGGCCAAACAGGGCAACTGCTTCAAACACCAGGGCAAGCGCGATGGCCCCAAATATGAAGGGCATGATGTAGTTCACTGTGGCCGAGCAGAAGGAGAGGATAAAGGAAATGGAAATGTAGGCCACCAGCCCAGCCACCGCACTTTGGCTGGAGGAGAGGTGGGCCATGCCAGTGGGCAGGAGGTGGCTGGCATTCCCCAAGGGCAGCATTGTGTTCTGCAAGGAGGGGTAAGCAGCCGTGATGATGCGTGTAGCCCCGTAGCTACTCCACAGAGCAGAGAAGGTGAGAAAGGCTGCACCTCCCAAGTGGTCATACTTCCGGAAGGCAAGGAATCCTGCCAGGAGCTGGACAAAGCCTCCGATCAGGATGAGGTGGACACCTGAGAGACACATGAAGAGGTCAGGTAGGAAGCAAGCCACAAAAAAGCTTGAGTTGCAGGAAGCAGTGCTGCATCTCCAAGCTCTGGGGGACACCCCACTGCAGGTCCCACAGCCTTCTTGTGACCCAGCCCTATGGCCTCTGTGGAAGACCACCTCTCTTCCCACCTTTGTGATAAATTTCTGTGCTGAGCCTTGGTGCATGACCACTGAGGCCCTTGGCATGCTCGGTATGGTGAGCAGATCCATGAAGGTTTGGTTCTATGAAGGTAGGGGAATAGCACATGAAAGGTTTGGACCAGAATCCCAGTCAAGTTGCTGGGGAAGGAGGAACTGCCATCCCAGGGAGCACACAGATCTTCTATATGGTGGAGAAAGCCCACATCTTCCCATCTGTCCCACCAATGCTGTCCATTGGCCCACGGAGATGACTCTTTGAGAGTCCAGGGAAAGTTCACCTCCAACCAGCAGCCCTGGAATCCCCCATGAGCAACATCACCCACCTGCGAGGATGTCCTCTGCTTCCTGTGGCCGGAGGCCAGTGTGTGCCACGGTGAAGTTCTGCAGGCAGAGGAGGAAGGCGCTGACCACGTTGGCGAGGAGCCCCAGCACGGCCGGCTCGCTGTAGAAGACGGCCGCGAACCCCGCCGTGCTCGCCATGGACCTTCCAGACAAAACAAGAGCGTCAGCGGTCGCCCCCACAACCTCACCGTTGTCGGCGTCTAGACCAGCACCGCTTTGGCTGGGGCGCTCAGCCAGCCTTCAGAGCCTGGCCCCTGCTCTAAGGAGGGAGAAACTGGTGACAGGCTCAGGTGTTTCCATGGTGCCTCCCCACTCGTGGCTCCAGACAAAGGCTCGATTCAAAGGAGAACTTTAGGTGCCTACTTTCCAAAGTCCTATCCAGAAAAAACACACACAACCTATTTAGGCTACAAGGATTTCTGGCAAAAACATGTTTAGGTGCCTCAAAACGCTGCAGGTGGTGGTGATGGTTCCTGCCCCCTCTTCTCTAGCTGCTGGAGATGGAGAGGAATGAATAGCCCTAACACAAATGAACAAACATTCAGACGAAACCCACAAGGTATTTTTGAGCCATTCCAGGACATTTCTTATCCACTGTTACAGACAAACAGGCAGGCACCACGCACGCATACACAGTCTCCCTTCCAGATGGAATTTTCCAGCTCCATCCCTTTCTTGAAACCCTAATGACTAAATAGGCTATTTTCAAACCCTTCATATTTCTACCATTAACTCGTCTATTTGCAGGCAGCCCCCACATTTCCATTCCTCCGCGCTCCTGGGTACCATGAGCTGGAGGCTGCTCTCTGGAGGTTTTTGTTAGGAAACAAAGATGAAAATAAAACAGCAATGTTCTTGTTATTTTGATATTTTTAGAACATTTTATGACTTAAAGGAGCTGGAAAAGTAGACGGTGATGTATTCTGTCCTCAGCCATTCCAAAAAGCCTTTTGGGCAGACGGGAGAGCATGCGGCATCTCTGTTGGTATGGGAAGGGGGAGGAGTGAAGGAGCACCACCCAAAGAAGAAATAGTTTTGTGAATATTCATGAACCTGAATCCCAGGGTCTACTCTTAAACGCACAGTATTCCTGGGCAGACTTATAGATTTTGTAGACATCAATGGCCTCTCAACTCCTTTGCTCCACTACAAACCCCATGTTTTCCTTTTCTCCATTTATTCTGAAGGATGTCAAATGAACAATGAAGGATAAATTGACTCGGAACTGATTCAGCAACTTAAACTCTCAGGAAACGTGGAAAGGGTAAAAACTTTCAAGTGAACCTCAGGGGACACTTATTAATTCAATAATTTGGTTGTGTTAAAGGTTAGATTTCTTTTGGTGGGGAAAGAGAGATGTGTCAAAGCGCAGTTCTGCAGGAGGAATACTCTCTTTTACTGTCAAGCACCTGCTTAAACTACTGACTTGGAGGAAGCCCTAAGAAACAATGCACTTTTAGGAAGATCTGAGCAACTGCCTGTGGAGTCCATGATGCTGTCTTTTTTTTTTTTTTTTCCTTTTTTAAATGACTTTCAGATATAAATAAGCTGTTTAAATGGTTGCACTTGGAGGCGGGCCACAGGAGTCCATGATGCTTTTTTTTTTTTTTTTTTTTCCTTTTTTAAATGACTTTCAGATATAAATAAGCTGTTTAAATGGTTGCACTTGGAGGCGGGCCACAATACTAAGTCCCTCCAGATGTTTCGCTCTGAAATAGCTCAGGCAGTGGCTTTCTAGGCACACTGCAATCAGCCCCTGCTCTGAGTTGGTCTCCAGAGGAGGAGATGGGGTTTCTGGAGGAAGATGGGCTGGCCGGGTGACTGCTTGGCTGGCAGAAGTGACTTTCAATTTGCCAGGGCTCACTTTGTTGGTGGTTCCTGCCTGACTATCCGTGGTAGCAGCTTTAGAGCCTGTGACACGCAGCGTGGCTTGGTGAAGGGTGTAGAAACACAACTAACAGAACAAGAGAATGGTTGGAGTTGGAAGGGACCTTAAAGATCATCTGGTTTCCTCTGCCTGCAGTGCAATCCTTCATAGAACATCTGAGAAGGAGGGAGAAGAAATACCAGACTATGCCACAGTGGGCTATGGAGGTGTAAAGGGAAAGGATGTGAGAGGATTTAGACCAAGGTATGGAAAAGGAGGAGGATGACGGGGCTTCCTTGGGAGGAGAAGGCTTTGGGGTTGGAAGGAGCTGCTCTGCTCACACCTCCCCATGTGCTGCGGACACAGACTTGTGCTCCCTGCCCAAAAAACATTTCAGCATCTGGGCATCACCTCCCCCTCCTCTGCTTCATGCAACATAAGGACACAGCAAATAATAAACCCTTTCCTGTTGTTCTCATAGGAGGAACAGCACTAGTGCTGCTGTGGGCTGCACCAGGACCTGGAGGACCACATGTGGAACCACTCAGAGGTGTTTTCTGGTCAAAGTATGCCCCAGCCTTGCTTGTTCCTTGGTTTAAAACCCCTCGTTGCTGCTGTCATTGTCCCTTTCGTGCAGCTGCTCTTTGTAAGGACCTGTTTCTCTGCATGCCCTACAGAAAACTGACAACGTGACACCTCTGCTCCCCACTCCCTGCGAACAGCGAGGAGGGGTCTCCCACCAGGTCTCTCCTTTGCATTGAAGTCTCCAACCTGGGTGTCCTCAGCTGGGACTGATGCAAAGGAGCTCTTTGGGTGGAGGGCAGAGCGGAGGCAGAGGAGCAAAGAGGAGGTCCCTTTCTACCATGTGGGGTTAACAGCTCTCTGTACACAGCAGGTACCAGCCAGCACAGCCACTCTCCAGGAAACCACAAGGATGGAGACCTCCCCACAGCGAGGAGACACCTGGAGACCTGGGGCACTGCCAGACCCTTCCGACCTGGCTTCACTGAATGGATGGGGCAGCCCGAGGTGAGCCTTCCCTTGGACAAATCCCTTGTGCAGCAAGAGCAAAGCCAAAGCCATCCCCTCGCTCACCCAGCCTCCTCTACCTTCCTTCCTTTTCCTGCTTGCCTCTGGCATTCTTCAGCCTGGGGTTTGCAGAAATGGCTTGTGAGGACCTCCCACCGTCCTGGCTCTTCTCCCCCCAGCATGACCTCTCAGCCATGCCCACGTGGCCAGTGTGCCAACTGGGCTGCAGCCTCTGGACACCTGCTCCTTTTACTTGCCACCTTGCTCACAATAGAATCATAGACTCATTTAGGTAATAACTTCCTTTCGCCCCCTGCAGAGAAGGTCATTCCCCTCTGCACCCTCTTTCCATCTTGCTGTTATACCTGGACTCTGCAGACACCACCGTGTGCATCTACTTTGCCCTGACATCTGCTGCCTGTGCTTCTTTTCCTTGACTAATATTAATGGGAATATGCTGTTGCATGGACACTGTCCCCACAGGAGGCTGGAGCAAGGCTCAGCACGCCCCGGGACACATATATAAATTCCAAAACATTAAATTTTCAGACACTTATCCCCTAGTGGCATTTTGTGATTAGTTTTCCATCCCACCTTATTAATGATAACAAATGTTTACACAGCTCTGAGAAAATACTGCGTCTCCCAAGATAAACACGTTAAGAGAACGAAAGGCAGTTCTTTTTGGATAAGTGCACGGCAAGATTAACAGTGCACAACAACGCTACACAGCTGGAATAAATATTACAACCTCTGGTGAAAAACAGCACGAAGTTGCCTGAGATGCGTTGCTACGTCCACAGTGACCAAGGGTCTGCCTGGTAGAAAATTCAGGGTAGTTTTCAATGCAAGGTGTATCTTCTGTGCAAAATAACATGCCGCATGTTAAGTGCCCCCAGGTTCTCACCCTTGGACAAAGCCAGGAGCTGTGGGACTCCTCCAGAGCCCGAAAATTCATTTGGGAATGAAGGGTCCCCGATGTCCCCTGGGATGAGAGAGCTCCCGTCTGCACTAACAGGTCAATGAACCGGCAGCACATGGCAGGCAGCATCGCAGAGCTGAGCATTGAGAAGGAGGAGAGCTAGGAAAAGAGTCAGCCACACAACAGAACACTGAATGTATTCAAGAAAAGCACCAAAGCAAAACATCAATGCCACGCTTCTCCCTCTGCAGCTTGGATTACCTGGTTTGGTGACACTTCGGCTCAATGGGAGGATGCTCTTGTCCCTCTCATTTCCTGGTAAGTACCAGTTTTATAGTCCTCCTCTGTAGGAGGAGCCTGGGGCCAGTTGCTTCACACATTGGCACCTGTGGCATTTTGGAGACAGGAATTTCCTTGAACTTTCTCAGTTATTGTCCTAAACTTTTTTTTTTTGTTATTATTTCCTGAAACCAGGGGGGTTTCCCTTCTCTTCGGCAGAGAAAAACCACCCCTCCTCATCTATTCCCCCCACCCTCTCCGTCCCCAGAGGCTGATGTCATCACACTTGAAATTCAGTTGCAAAAAAAACAAAAAGCAATTTGCCTTTCAGAAGCATATATAAACCCTGACACCAAAGCACCTTTCAGACAGACACCTCTCCCATCCCTCGAATAGAGCAGTGCAGAGCTGGGGATCCAGCAGCCACCACCATGGTCTACTTCACCTTGCAGGTAACTATTGCTTCACATACCCAACCTATCCACCTCTCAACTTTCCTTTTTCCACTTTAACGGTGTTTTCCTGGCGGCTCCTCAACTGCTCAAAATTGTCGTGACATTAAATGGAAACCTGCCCCAAGAACTAACAAAGCCAGATGGTTTTCACAGACATTTTATTCATAGCTACTAACCTGTTCCTTCCGTGCCTGTTCCTTTTATGCATCCCCAAAGGTGTTTTGTAGGGTGCCATGGTGGGGGGGTTGTTGTTATTGTTGGGATGTGCTGTGTGGGGTTTTCTTCCTCCTCGTGTCCACCCTGAGCTGGTCCCGCTCGCAGCCGTAAGAGGGTTTTGTGGTAGGTCTGACCAGGCTGTGCTGCCCCTTCTACTGTACTGCTTTATTTCCCTGACTATTCTTGGCACCTCTGCTGGACCGAGCCATGGAAAATGGGGTGGTTTTTTTTTAAATTTATTTTCCTTTAAACATGTAGTTAGTTTTATCCTCTCGTTTGATCTGTGAGAGTCTTACGATGCCGTGTTAGAGGCACAACCAGTAAAACGGCTCAGAAAGAGCTGAAGCAGCTCGGGTGACAAATGCTCTTTCTCTGTCTTTGCTCTAGAAAACCCAGAAGTTCTTGGCAAGCTCCCGGCAAGTTCACAAAACTGCTGCTCACGGTTTGTATTTCCCTATCCCCTCTTAAAGAGCATCCCAAAACGATCATGTCGTTATTTGTGAAAAAAAAACAAAACCGAAGGTGCTGGGCTGAGAGCACTGAGATAAACGGGTCAAATTCTTGGAAAACAAAGTGTGCTTGGGGGATCTTGTGGTGATTATTGCCCTCGGTTGCTAAAGAAGTTAGTGGCTAAAAATGTTGCTGGTCCTGTGCTAAAACAGAAACTTTAACTGATTTAGAACCAGACTTTCCAAATTCTTACACTTTGATTGTAAATATAAGATATTTAAATTGTAGCTGCCACCGGATCGCTCAGCTCCTGGACATCCTCTGTTTGTCCTCAGTTCTTTATTACGTCTGATCTCACTATTATTGTGGTTCGAAGTGATTCACAGACCATTCCCCAGGTCTCCCGGTGCTGTCTCCTCCAGCACTACCTGTCCACAGCCTCCCTGCTTCAGACAAATCAAGCAGAACTTTGCTGTGTAGCCAGTAGGTCTATTATAAGTTTGTCTATTGATTTATTTCAAAACGTGTTATTAATACAATAAATGCAATGCATTAATTTAATGAACACTTGAGAACAAGAAAAATAACAATAATCCATCCAGATCTATCTGCTCTGGGACAGACAGGTATTTTTTTTAATTAAGTTCTGCAGCACAGCTCCCGTACCAGGATAAAAAAACCACTGAAGCCGCGAAATGCTTTTAACCAGAGGGTTAAAAAAATCTCGCTGCCTCCTGAAGTGCCAGGGAGCGTCTGGTGATGGGAAGGAAGCAATCAGAGGGTTATGGGCGCAGCTCGATTCCAGCAGATTTTCCTCCAGCCTCTCCAATCTGGTTTGACCTCACCGTTTCCTTCCCCGGGAGGGCACTGGGGCTGTCGCTGGCGGTGGCTCCAGGGCTGGAGATGCCCTCGGAGCACACGGAGAGGACACGGGCTTCTGTCGGCAGAAGGTTTGGTTTCCGAACTGCTGAGTGGTAGGGATTCCTATAGCGATGTATTTCAGGGAGATTCGCTGCCAGGAGTGAATTTTCTTTCAGTGAGTCACAGCAGTGATGACATTCTCAGCTGTGTTTACAAGCAGTTTTGAGACTCCGAGGCTGGAGGTGAGTCCAAACACATTTGCAAGCAAACTGTGAGTCAGTAGGCATGACATTTCGGAATGAATGCAGGCTAGTGAAATTAGGGAATGGTCTTTTTTTTTTTTTTTTTTTTTTCTTGCAGAATTATTTGGTATAATAAATGCTCATACTTAAAAGCAAAGTGCTATAATTAGCCAGTGATGACAGCTTATGTAGTTTAATTTGCAAATAAACACTTATTCTGTTTCTAAGACCCTTAAACCAATTTTTCCACAGCTGGAGGATCCTGTCAGCCAGATCACAACAGGCAACTGGAAGGAAGCAGTAAGGGCTCTTTGCAAGGATTTTTTTTTTTTTTTTTTTTTTTTTTTTTTTTTTAAATTGGGATGTTTTCTGTTTAAAAAATAAAGTGTCATGTGTACCCGCTGGTTTTGATGAGGTTTCCTGGAACATGTTGAAGCAGCGTATTTTTATTTTCCTGTTTCACTCATCTTGACTTTTTCATGTGGTTACTTTCATTGGGACATCAGTGCCACCTTTTATCTCTGTGTGTGTGTGTGTGTGTGTGTACTCCCCACATACACATACACGTGTATACATATATATGTATTGACAATCAAGCAAATGTTAGCTGTACTGAATTTTATAGTTTTTCTACTCTCTTCTGCATGCTCAAAATGACATTATAAATTATAATGGCCCATGATAATTATAATTCTATGAATTATAAATTCATCAAACGAAAGCAATTTGTCACTGAAATTAAAAAGCACAGCAGTCCCAAACTGGGTATTTTCCACAGAAATTTAACACCTCCAAAGCTCTTAAGCCCTACGCACCCTGAAACTGCTTCACTTGAACCTTTTTGAAGCCACCCCAGGAGGTGGGAAGAACAGCCCTTACAGCACATGAAGGCAGCAGGAGCCAGGACGTGCTGTGAACCCTTGGAAAGCCACGGAGAGGGACAGGATTCACACCAGCCTGCTCGCCTTGGGCTCCCTGTGCTGGCCAAGGGGCAGAAATGGCACTTCCCATCAGAGAAGATGCTGGTTGCCTCACCAGGAACATCTCTCCACTCTCTACAGAGGGAGCCTGGAGCAATGGTGCTCCTCTCCTGGACTCCATTAAGTGCCTGAAGCCACAGGAGGTGACTCTGGGCCCAAATGGCATCCTCAGGGAGATGGTCACAGCTTGGGCCAGCACAGAGAAGCTGTACATCTCCTCCCAAATCTGTAGGGCTGTATGCAGCCATGGGATATCCTGGGCAGGGCCTACACTCTCCAGCTGCCTTTGCCCTTCAATAAATTCAGTGAGACCAGAGGGTGAAGACCTGTGAGCTGTCAGCCCATGGCCCACATGTGTCTTTACACCCTCCCCTCTCTCTTGGTGGTGCAGTGGTGGCCAGGAGCGCTCCGGAGGAGACCGTGACCAGCAGCTTCGCATCCTTCATCCACGCGGTTCGACCCGAGCACTTGTCCAAGACTGTCCGCCACAGAAGCAAGAGGATGATCCTCGACAGCATCGGGGTTGGCCTCGTGGGCAGCACGACGCACGTGTTCGACATCGCTCTGCAGTACTGCCGGGTAGGAACCACCCCACAGAACATGCTCCCAACCCTGGCACCACCACCGTAACCAAGGCTTTGATTCTTGGCTGATGTAGGGCTTTTGCCTTTGCAGTAGAGGGGTGTTCTGACCTCCTGCAGTCACTGCTTCACTCAAGGGCCTCACACGAATCTCTCTCCCCTTGGCAGGAGCTGTACTCTTCGGTGGCTGTGAGCTCTGTCTATGGCAAACCAGGTGTGAAGCTCTCTCCCACCCTGGCTGCGTTCACCAACGGCGTTGCGGTAAGGCAGGCTCTTCCAGGAGAAGCTCTGCTTTGTGGTGCCTTCAAAGTGACACTAGTTAGTGTCACAGGATGTGAAGTGGTGACTGGGAGGGGCAATGGGGGGGCAAGAAGTCATGTCCTTCTCTTCACACTGCTTTTAGAGGGACCAAATAGCCACTACCATGGGGACCACCAGGTGGCTGGGTGGACATTGTTACAGATGTAGCCTCAGCAAAATGAGCAAGGACCCCTCAGCTCCCACCCCTCACACCGGCTTGTCCTTATCTCCATTTCTCTGGCAGACTCACTCCATGGACTTCGATGATACCTGGCACCCTGCGACTCACCCGTCAGGGGCTGTTCTGCCAGCTCTTCTGGCAGCTTCCCAGATGCTACCTCCAGGCACCAAACCCAACGGCACGGATTTCCTGCTGGCGTTTAATGTGGGCCTGGAAGTGCAAGGAAGGCTCATGCATTTCTCCACTGAGGCTCACAACATTCCCAAAAGGTAAACCTCCTTTTCTTCACTGAGTAGGAAGAGTGGTGAGTCCGTTAACAGGCCGGCTCAGGGTTTCACAATGTCAGTGTTGACCTGAGGATCAGGGTAAAGCCCTGCTCAGAGCCAAATGCCAGTTCTGCCAGAGCTGATGTGGCACTACTTGTTTCATGTTCATTTGGTGATCTCCAGTGATCTTGCCTTAAAAATAGCCATCAAGAGGAGTCTTCATGACATCGTTTAAAGTAACCACGGCAAGAGCACAGGAGAGGCAGTGGCCCACAGCCACGCAGACAGCTTAATTACGGGCACAGTCCCTAGAACAATTTTTGCCTGTGCCAATGGCCATTCACCAGGCAGTGTCCTGGTGTGGTCGAAGGGATAGCATCTTTCAGGAACTGTTACCCTTGGGCATGTTGGATGAGGGCACCTTATTTGTCTGGGGGGAGGAAGTTTGGCTGTATGGCCACAAGCCGTGTCACCTGTTCTTAGGGAAAATTAAAAATTGCTCTCTGGAGATGCTGAGCTCACCCTGTTGTCTCTAATGAAGTTTCAAGTAGACACTTGGTTTCCAGATGGCTAAGTTTTGAGTTCAGAGAATCCTACCTGCACCAGAGCCGTGGGGGATTTCCACTGGCTGACTTGGCAGTTCATTTCCAGTCCCATAGGCAGGTCTGGCAGGTGAGGTTCATGGCTGCTCCCGGTGCCAAGCAGGCAGGGATGCTCATATTTGCAATTTCCCCTTTAGGTTCCACCCTCCCTCAGTGGTTGGCACCATGGGCAGTGCTGCGGCCACCGCAAAACTGCTCTCCCTCAGCACGGCCCAGTGCACACACGCTTTGGGCATTGCTGCGTCGCTTGCCGGGGCACCCATGGCCAACGCTGCCACCCAAGCCAAGCCATTGCATATTGGAAATGCCACCCGCCTGGGCTTTGAAGCAGCACTGCTGGCTGCCCGAGGGATGGAGGCTAACCCCTTAATCCTGGATGATATTGCTGGTTGCTCGGGATTCAGTGCTTTCTACAACATCTATCAACCCAAACCACTGTCCACACCAAGTGACCACCACGAGTTCCTCTTGGAGAAGCAGGATATTGCTTTCAAGCGATTTCCAGCCCACCTGGGGATGCACTGGGTGGTGGATGCTGCCTTGTCTGTCCGGAATCTTTTCATCAACTATGCAGGGTCATTCTCTCCCTCTTTGATCCGCACCATTGTGCTGAAGATCCCGGTGTCAAAGTACATCAACCGGCCTTTCCCAAGCTCTGAACACCAGGCTAGACACTCCTTCCAGTTCAATGCCTGTACCGCCCTGCTGGATGGTGAGGTGGGCCTCAGCTCCTTCACGGAGAGCAGCATCCACCGGCAGGAGCTGAGGGAGCTGCTGGACAAAGTGGTGGTGGAGCACCCTGAAGATAACGTGGCCAACTTTGACAAGATGTATGGAGAGGTGGCACTGCTCCTGCACAGCGGGGATGTCCTGACAGGCAAATGTGACACTTTCTACGGGCACTGGAGGAAGCCTCTGAGCAAAGAGTCGCTCCTGAAGAAGTTCCGATCCAATGCCTCTCATGTGCTTCCAGAAGAAAAAATAGAAACCATCATCACTATGGTGGACAACCTGGAGAATCTGCCAGATAGTTCCCTGCTGGCCTGCAGCCTGTGAGGGAACAGCAAGTGTTTGCTGTTTGGGTTTTTTTTTATAAGGGGCTTATCCCGGTGAAAATCTGATTCCTTTCTTCATTGGTGCTTCACTATTCATTTCCAATGACAGGAAAGTTCCCAACCCCTTGAAGTTAAAGTAGATGCTTTAAAACCAAAGGAGTCCACAAGGCAGGAGGTGTGTCTGTGTCAGTAATCAGTGCACAGATTAAATTTCAACTCACAGCTGATGCTGTCTGAGTAGCTGAAAGGCCACTACAAATAAAAAAAAAAAAATAATCCCATGAAAATCTATGGGAATCCTGGAACATCATCTGGAAGCCGATTCCCCAGAAGGAACTGTGTTTGGATATTTTTTAACGCTGCACTTGGAGTTATTTCTGTACAGAATGCCTAACCGCCGAGTCTGGGAAGAAGAGGAAGTTCAGCTGCAAAATATGTGCTTTTCTTACTGCTCTTCTGGGCACTTTTCAGATCACGGTTAGTGCTGGCCAGATGAAAAACCTATCAGTTACTGTAAACAGCCCTGCCTGCAAAACTCGCAGGCAGAGAGGGATTTTTTTTTTTCCTTTTCCAGTAAAAGCCTCCCTTTTCTCCAGCACTTGGGAAGTGTTTGTCACTTCTCTGTGTAAAAGGGATGGTCCAAAGACCCTTAAATCCCATATGTCTTTTCTGAATGAAAGGCAAGTGGTAGGTGAGGAACCCTACACCAGTCCTACGCCTACATCCTACGTCTCCTGTGAGGTGATCCCTGCCAATCCTAGGGCTGTGCCCCATCATCCCTCCTGGCTTTGTACAGGTCGCCCAGGCACCACCAGAAGTGGTCTCTATAGTCCATGCAGAGATGGGCACCCCTGGATGGTGACTTGGGCACATACTCGCTGTGACTCACATTGGGAAATTCCTGTTTCTCTCCCTTGAGAGGGGGGAAAGCTTACGGAGATTCAGTCTTGAACTCGTCTTTCCAGCTGGGGTGAAATCAGTGCTCCTGCTCCTGAGTAGCCATTCACTGAAGGGCTTTCCTACCCCGCGTCCTTCCTGAGCAGTGAGACGGAGAGCTACGCAATATTCCTCTCTACATTGAACAAATACTGTGATTGCTGATCCAAAGGACTCGTTGCCAATATGATTGTGATATAGATACAGAATCTGTTGCAGAAGGTGGTTGGGGAGGGGAAGAGGGGGTGCTGGGAAGGGATTAAACGTGCGAGAAGAAATGTGGGCCGGTTCCTTTTTAGCTTGCTGGTAGTGGTCTATGCAGAGAATTTCCCAGCCAGAGCAAAACTGTTTGCCCACCTGTTAATCCACTCTCTCACACTGTCTGGCATATTCACACTGAATCTTTATGAATAAAGAACTGAAGTAAATTAATTTTCTGCTCAAACATTTAATGCTACATTATGTAGACCATCAGGTTTTTGATTTTAATCTGATCATATGCAACACAGAGTCTTTGCTAATAGACGGGGAACCCTGCAGAGGCTAGGACAGGGCCAGCTAGAAGGGTGTGATTTCTCCAGTCATATATTTCCATTGAGCCCTGCAGGCTGTTTTTCCTGGTGAAAGTAATAGCTATTAGCCAGCAAACCCCCTTACAGCTGTGGTTAAACACAATCTCTCAACCAAGAGAAGTTACCCAGTGTTTCTCCATTAAGCAACAGATTTCAAATACTTGCTAAGTTTCCATGACAAACATCTAGTTGTCCTCGGTTTGAGTCAGGTGTGAGATCACCAAAAATGTCATTCCATGTTTCACAGCCCAATGAACTGGAAACCCAGAGAGCCAGTGCCTTTCACATCAACCATGAGCTCAACATTTGTCAAGGGAATCAATATGTGTGAGAGAACAGAGATGGGCTTCAGTGGAGGGAACAACATGTCTCAGTGGATTATCAGTGGTTTCAATGTCCTAACATTTGTTCCAAAGTTCTCATTTCCCTGCCTTCTGCACCATGCTGCAGTGATGCCATCTAGCAGTGAAGCTGAGCAGGAGAGGAGGGAACTAGCACATTTTACCTATTGTTGCTGGGGCAGAAAAAAGAGTTTTTCAGTTGTGTTTCTCATTACATTTTGTCCCTGGGATCCAGAAACCCTTCTAAACCTCTTTCATGCCTTGTCTATCCATCAGCTGTAATCCTGACACCTTTCAGGAGATGATGTGTGAAATTAGGAAATCAGGATGTTGAAAACACCTCCGGTATCTGAGCTCAGGAAAGTGTCTCACTTGTTACTTCCAGTTTCAAACAGCAAATGTTTCACATTTGTAGCTAATTAGAAGGTCCAAACCACTGGCAAGGGAAGCGAGGCATTAAAAAAGCCAAGGAAAAAAAATAATGGCCTGTGAAAATTGTACACCAGTTTGTGTGACACTGAGGGTATTCAGCAGCTAACATGGTGCCACCAAAGTCCCTAACTACCTCTCAGCTGAATGAAAAAAGAGCTACTGTCCTTCTTTCTACTGCTGTTCCAAGATAAATGACACTTAAAATTAAGAAAAGGAAACCTTTCTCCATAAACATATTTACATTAGCAAGCTCGGCGAGTGAAAGGACACTTGCAGTGCAGAACCAGGCAGGAATATTTGTTAGCAATCAATCAATAACTACAATCCCACGCCAGAAATTAATAGGGCTCCTCTTAGCGGTCTACCATTAATAGGGCTCCACTGGCACAAGCGCTTGGCCAGGGATAACGAAGCCTTGGCCATCAGAGAGCTGGGGAGAGCTGAGGCGGGGCTGGAGGGAGGAGGCTGCACCATCAGCCCTCTCGGGTGGGCATTGACCCTCTCCCGTGGGCAGGACCCACCCGTGGGGCGCCGCGGGGGGGGCGGGCACGGCCGAGGCCTTCAGCACCCTGGAGAGCGGCCGCCGGGCGGGGCCGGGGCCAAGGGGGCTCCGCTGTTCGGGGGGCCCTCCCTGGGTCCCCTCCCTGGGTCCTCTTCCTGGGGTCTCTCCTTGGGTTCCCTCCCTGGGGTCCCTCCCTGGGTCCTCTTCCTGGGGTCCCTCCTTGGGTCCCCTCCCTGGGGTCCCTCCTTGGGTTCTCTTCCTGGAGTTCCTCCCTGGCATCCCTCCTTGGGTCCCTTCCCTGGGATCTCTCCCTGGGTCCTCGTCCTGGGGTCCCTCCTTGGGTCCCCTCCCTGGGGTCCCTCCTTGGGTTCTCTTCCTGGAGTTCCTCCCTGGCATCCCTCCTTGGGTCCCTTCCCTGGGATCTCTCCCTGGGTCCTCGTCCTGGGGTCCCTCCTTGGGTCCCCTCCCTGGGGTCCCTCCTTGGGTTCTCTTCCTGGAGTTCCTCCCTGGCATCCCTCCTTGGGTCCCTTCCCTGGGATCTCTCCCTGGGTCCTCGTCCTGGGGTCCCTCCTTGGGTCCCCTCCCTGGGCCCTCTTCCTAGGGTCCCTCCTTGAGCCCTCTTCCTGGGGTCCTTCCTTTGGTCCCCTCTCTGGGGGTCTCTCCCTGGGGGTCCCTTCTTCAGAAGGTAAAGGTGGCATTCTCCGATGGCAGCTCTTGTCTTTGGTTCCCACAAATGGTTCAACTGGAGCCGGGAGCAGCTCTCACCCCTACTGCCGCCCCCGGCACAAGATTTCCATATTCTGAAGAGCTGAATTTTGTAGGGCTTGGCATTATTATTTTTTTCCGCAACATGGAGAATTCTGGATTTCCCACGGAATGCCGGCAGAAAAAAAAAATACTACAATTCACGGATTATATCAATTTTAGAGAGGATTTTGACCGTAGACGTCAGAAGAGTCCTCTCTGCCTTCCAGTGCTATTTCCGTGATGATAACGTTGCTACCACGGTGTGGCCAGCTGGGGAACCGCACTCCTTGAAAAACCCCAAGTCCTTCTTTATTGCTTTATGATTTTTAAATAATTGAATAATTGCTTTTTAAATAACTAAAGGAAGAAGAAAACATAGGACAGTCCCACAAGGAATTGAGTGCCGTCAGTCAGAGTGGACTCTACTGTGGTAGACCCTGCCCCAGCTCTGCTGACACCTTCCTCCTCACAGGGATGAAGCCCACATCCCTCCAAGCCAGAGCTCCTGGAGCAACTCTGGATGCTTTTTCTGGACAGAGGAAGGCACGAGTCGTGGTCCAGAGGCTCTCCCAAGCTCTGGACCTGTTGCCATGGGGGGTGAAGTTTTGCAAGGAGGCTGATGTTCCAAAAATGAATGACTGAGACAAACCATCCACAGGAATGTGTCTTGGATGGGATGGAAAGGAGCAAGGTTGCTTGGCAGCTGGGATGTGCAGACCAAACACGTGCAGCTGGTACAAGGACCAGAGTAAAGCCCTGCCGCCTCACTGGGAAAACAGGGTGACCAAGCTGGGCTGCAAGGGCAAGCCAAAGTTTTCTGCCTTACGCCAGCATCTTCTTAGCACCCTATTTCCCCCTCATCCCTGCATAAATCTGGGTCAACTCTCTGACTTTAGACACTCTCCCTTCCACGCAGCCATCTCATCTCTGCGCTCTCCCATCTTGGGTTACAGGAACCCTGTAAGTGTTTATGCAGAGCTGAGTAGGAGGCACAGAGCCTCCTGTGTCAGACACTGATGCCAAGTTCTCACTTCCCAGGCAGGATTTAAAACATTGGCTTGGTGGGAGAGCCACCAGTGCCAGCCCACCCGAGGCAAGCCAAGCAGGAGGATGGAGAGGAAGGGAGACGGAAATCTTCAGCTGTGGAAATGTGAGTATTTAGAGGAAAGAGGAATGACAGGTTCTTTGTATTCATGGAGGTTAGTGAAGAAATGAGGGGCTTCAACTGCAGCAAAAGGGGTGTCAGACATCAGGAAAAATGTCCCAAAAAAGTAGTGCAGCAGAAGCAGGACAGATCTTCCAAGAAGGTCATGAAGTCTCCATTGATGGTGATTTATAAAAGTAGGATTCATGCCCAGGGGTGAGAGCTGAGCAGGCTGCCTTGGGAAAGCTCCCAAGGTTCATGCAGCCTTACTTTCATGGCTGGGGTTTGAGGCTTGTGCTAGGTTTGCAAAATAAAAGCTTGAACTTGAAACTGGCCATCCAAAGCCTGGCATCCTGTCTCCTGCTGGGACAGAGTATAGGTTAGGGTTTCCCTCCGCTGACTGCAGTCACGTCTGTGTTGTACCTGGAAACCTCAATCAGGTTCTCATCGGGGTCTCGGAAGTAGACGGATGTTATTGGACCCACGGCACCAGTTCTGGCCACAGGACCTCCTTCAACGATCACCCCACAGGCCTGGGAAGATATATTAGGGCAGAGTTTTAATGCTTAGGGTAGTCTTATCGGGACGTTGTGCATTCTTCCCCCCCTAGCTTTGAAAACATGAGCTGTTGGATGAGGCAATTCTGACATTCCCCAAGACACAGACTCTAAAAGTGTCACTTGGAAGGCTCTGGCTTCATGCTTCCCGGGGTCACACTGTCCTGTGCACACTCTATACCTTCCTCACCTTCAGATGATCCAGCAGCTGGTCCAGAGGCACCTGTGTGATAAGGCAGATATCTGCAGAGCCAGGGACCGGGCACCGAGCCTTGGGTTCAAACTCCTTCCCAGCTTCATGCAGGTTAAACTTCTGGTTGCCAAAACGTAAAGCTTTGCGGTCGCCCTGTCCCCAAAGAAAAGAATCAAAGTGCAATGACACCTACTGGGCTGGAAGCCTTTGGTCCTAGAAATTGTTTTTCAAATAACCTTGCTTTTTTTTTTTTTTTGTCACTTTGACTCTTTCTGCAGCATGATTTGGACTTCCCTCTGACTCAGCTTGGGTCTGTTGAAGCTCAGAGCTTGATGGGCTGCAGCTTGTGCTGGTCCTCCCATCCCCACTCCCAGGAGATGCCCCAGAGACCCTACTAGAGATCCACAAGGACCAGCCGTTGGCCCAGAACTGCAGTTCCAGCTTCCCTAAACCTGAGATGAGCTTGTCCCCATATTACCTTGAAAGTCACCACCTCCATGCCCAGGACTTTGGAATAAAAGGCCACAGTGTCCTCAATGCTCTTCACAGTCAATACAAGGTGGTCCAGGCGCTGGATGAAACATGGGGGTGGATTCATACGCTCCTCCTTCCAGGACATCTCAGGGCTGGGAACTAGCACACAAAACCACAGAAGATGAGGGTTAAGAGCATCCAGCTGCTCAGGCAAACAGTCCACGCACCTGTGAATGAAGATCAATCAGGTTTTCTCTTGGCCTGCAGGTGGCACAAGTACAGAAGTGATAAATTCTCCTCCCTGGAAGGGCCTCAGACCCCTGCCTTGCTCTGGTGGGACCTGAGCATGTCAGAGCCCCTGCCTGGGGCCAGATCTGGAGGACCATCTGGGCGACCTTGCTGAGGGTTGATGTCACCAAGATACTGAGCTCCCAATGCACAAAAACCTGTGTCTGATGGACCGTGTGTTTGACCCTACCTTCCAACTCCCTCTGGTGTCCTCCCAACCTTCTTGATGTCCAGGTGTGGACATTCATCCAAGTGGAGCAAAGACAGGGAGCGAAGACAAGCTGGGCCCTGGCAGTGTAGTAGGAAATGTCTCTGGAATATTGCCAGGAGAAGAGGACACCAGAGCTGAAGCAGCTGTTCTCTGGTTCATTTCAGCCCCATCTGCACCAGAGCAGGATCCCTGATGATCCTGGTCTTATGACTCCACTGACCCTCTGATGATCCCTGAACCCCATCAACACATTCAAAGCAGGCTCAGGCTGCTTAACTCAGTGGCTGTAGATCTTCCTGTGGTTCTCCAGAGCCTGGGAGCACCTTTGAACCAAGCTGTGAAAAGGAAATGGATTTGGCCCTGGTGGCCTGAATGATATCTCTGGGAGGCTGTGAAGTTTTCGTTTCATTTTGGGTTTGACTTTACCCTCAGAAAACCTGGCTGTGGAAATGAGGAGGGCTGTGACAAGCCCATCAGTGACAAATGGACTCAAGTTTCCCTCAAATCAGTAACAGCTCTCTACTTAGATACCTTTACTTCTCACTCTTAAAAGGCCCCAAATCATCATCCAAATGACAATTTTCTCTTCTGAGGCCCTCAACAGTTTCTCCACTGATGCCCCTTTGCAAGGGAAGCCCAACACTCCTGCTGCCTCTCAGAAAAAAAACCCCAACAAAACAGGTGGAAAATAAACCCTCTCAAAACCAATACAGGACAAAGTGTCACAAATCAGTAAAACAACCCACAAAACCTTTTTGCCTTGTCATTTGCCTTCAAACTACTGGATAACATCAGCAGGCAGAAGGGAAGGCTGATGTCAGAGGTTAAGGAGATGCAGCATGAGGTCACGGGGGACTCCACAGCCTGGGTTCACAGTGGTTCTTGGTGTTTGGTCTCACGTTGGGTTCATTACAGATACCCTCTGACATTGCAAAGTACTGCTCCTCCTTGTTGCATATGCCCTTCAGCGTGTGACGACCTCACCTCAGAGCAACCCGGGGTCAGTTCCTCTGCAAAGTCCTTCCTACCCAGGAAAAATTCTAAAAATTCCTGGGTGCTCCCAAGTTGCAGGACCCTCCTGTCACAGCCTGCAGGTGCCACCTCCTGCCTCGCCAATGCAACTCCCCCCTCCCACCCGAGCCCCTCAGTGGGCAACTGCAGGGAAATCAGATGGCAAAAATAGGCTGAGTACCTGTGAAAGAGCTGGGCAAGGCAGTGCTGGATGGTTCCCTCTGGCCGTCCTCTTCCTGCTGCCCAGAGCTGAGCTGTGGAGCAGCAACGTCACGGGAGAATGGGGCGGAAAAAGCAATGAGATTAGAAACAGGAGCTCTGAGCACCGCGCCCTGCAGAGGTGTACCTTGACCCGACGGACTTGGAAGTCCAACTGCACAGAGTTGCTTGAAAAATCCCAGAAAAAGGGCCTGGATATTTTAGCCACCTGCATTTTCTTTTGCAAGGGAAAGATGTTAATGTGCTCTATCAAAACACTCGGTTGAGCCTGGTGCTCAGACTGGGGTGACTTACTGTTAAGAAGCAGCAAGGACATCCCTGGAGAAGAAAATCTGTTGCAAGCCACCCCAGGCTCCCCCCCACTTCCCAGCAGTGGGAGATGTCCCTCTTCACCTCTTTACCTCCAATATTACTTTCTACCATGCAACATGCTCACGTCTTATTGCTCTGCAAGGCACTTGCTGTTCCTGGGAGCACTGCGAGCTCCCAGTAGCTGTAGGTGCCATGCAAACAGCCAACATGTCACAAGGAGCAAGAGAAAAGGAGGCTCAGGGTGATGTGAACCACTTTGGGCACATTTGAACACCCCTTCCTGCAATCAGACATGTCCAAGGGGGCTTCTACCCACATCCATGGGCCCTGGAGCCTATTTAAGCTCTTCTGAAGGCCTTCACTCCATGCCTGAGCTTTGGTGCAGGGGTGCCTGGCTCCAGATGTCCCTCTACCTGACCAATGGTCTGGACTCCCCTCTTACAGACTGGTACCTTGGTCCTTGACCTTGTGTCATCACTATGGACCTGATTGTTGTTTTGTGTGGAATCAAAGAGTTCAGGATCTTCAGTTTTTTAGAGAGAAGGCTATAACAGACAGCATGATTATCATCACAAGACACAGAGGCCACGTTTTCAACAACAAAAATATATTAGCGCGTTGTGACACTGCTATAGGATGCTTCATAAGACAATGGGGAAAGAACAGACAACTCCCCAAGAGACCAGTTTGGATCTCCAGAACTGTAGCATTTGCCCCACTGCTGTTTACGTGTAAGTAAATCCTTTCTTAGCTAAGAGAAATGACACTTTTCATGTTAATAGCTCTGAACTTTCATCCCTCTCTACTGAAGAGCTGGTAGAGCAATGGTGCACATTCTGACACCTGGTTTCTTGAAGCTGTCATTTGAGTCTGAGAACTTCACTTCCCCAGGGGAGATCCTGCCTAAGACCAATAAGTAAGAGGCATTTTGGCATTAAATTCAGGGTGGGAGCCCCATATATCAAACTTCAGCCTGGAAAGGGTTTGGAGTCTAGCTCCTTAGAGGTGTAGCTGCAGACAAGGGTTCCTGAGCTGCTTCCAACAGACATCCCAAGAAGGATGTCCTTCTACATTGCTCCATTCTTCCAACATTGCTTCTACATGTTGGACTGAGTGATGGAGTTGAAGTAGCTCAGTAAGTCCTCCATGTTGAAGTCCATGGCAATCCCTGACCCTGCATAACAGCGTTGGATCAGATCCTCAAACTCCTGGTACTGACGTATGAACTCCTGCTCCATAGCGTGCCACACCACCTGCAGAAAAACAGACCATCAGCATCTCTCATCAGCCCGTGACAGCTAGACCTGCGTTGCAGTCCTGAACCCTGCAAAGCATCATAGCATCACACCCAGATCACGTTCCAGTTACCGGCAGAAGGTTTTCCTCTGGGGAGAGATACTTGTGGATTTTCCTGTAGAGGGTCTCAAGGGCTCTTTTTACTTCTTTGCCAGGGTATTTTTCAATCACCTTCCTCAGCTCTTGCTTGCTGTAGGCCAGCTGAAAGCTGACCTCTTCTTCTTTCACCCCTTGAGCCACACGGGCTTTCACTCCTTCAAAGAAGTGCTGGAAAGGCAAGGAGACGTTCACTGACGAGCTGCCCTAAGGAGGACTCCTGTGTCGGGGCTGAAACCTGACCACTTTCCTCATTTCCCTCCCCATGATCCCTTCTGTTACTCGCTTGGCTTTGTTGTGAGCAATGAAATCATGCTTTCCCTCACGGAGGAAGGGTTTGAAGCCATTGACGTAGCAGGGCTGCAGGTAGCATGAAACACTGAGCCCATCATCCAGTCAAACCTACAAGATGTTTGACAGCAACGACTGGAAACAAATCGAAAGCAACGGGCCCTATAAATAATTCCAGCCGCTCTCAGCTCTGTGAGACATTTTAGGCCAGCGAGGAGAGAGAAGGAGCAGAGCGAGGAGGGGTCTTGGGAGCAGCCGTCGCCTCTGGGAGGAAGGGGGGTGCCCGTTTGAGTGAGCAAAGCCAGATGCTCTTAGCTCAGTTAACAAAGCAGCCGCCTGGGAAGCGTGGAGCCGTGTGAGACTTATGAGCCCAGGCAGCCGTGCAAAAGGAGAGCAGCATCTGCCAGACGCAGGCACGCAACCCGGGGCCGGGGTTGAACGGGTCCTCACGCCGCCGGATGGAGGACGAGTGGCAGAGATGGTACCAGCACCTGATGCTGCTGAGCCCTGCTCTTGCCGTGCTGCAAAGTGAAACCCAGCAGAGAAGGTGTGAGAACAAAGGGGGATGTGACCACACACTGATACAATCCCAGGCTGGGTTTGGGGAGGGGTGATCTGAACACCAGTTAATTCATACTTTTGTGAAGGGCAGTTGACCTTTGAGGCCCAGGGAAGGCTCACTTTGTCCTGTACTCACATTGAGCTTCTCCAGTGGCTGGCCCAGGTACTGGATGACGTATTTCTCCATGTGCTCACTATACTTTTGCTTGGCTTCTCTCTTCTTGCCCTCCAAGCAGTGGATCTTCTTTTGGCACAGGAAGCAGTGAATGTGGTGGAAATTTTCCATCATGACCATATCTGTGTTCACCTTCAGGTTTGCTGAGGACAGACTATTGACTAAAAAGAAAGGAACAAATCAGGTGTGGAGAGAAGACCCTACAGGTTGGGTCAGAAGGGAGATGAGCTGCAGACTCTGTCAGGCTTTGGTCACCAGTGGAGAGTTTAACCAAGGGGTGAGCATCATCACAGGTTGTTTAGCTCCTCAACCACCTTGCCTTGCAGAGCTCTGGGGTCATGACATTTAATAACTGTTTACCCAAGAGAGTGAGGAGATATCCAAGTCCATCCCTGACCAAATCTGTTTCTGACCTGGGTGCCAGAGCAGCACGTCAGTGTGGCACACACTCAACTGCCGAGCAGAGACATGGCTCACCACGCTGCCCACCACTCACCAGCTGGTCTGGAGAAGGCAGAGCTTGAGTAGCTCATTGTGCATGCAGAACAGAGGAGCCCTTCTCGCTCATGGCAGCAAACATGTCATTGGGTTGTCTCATTGACAGGGGCGTTGGAAATAAATGATTTTTAAGGTCTTTCCAACCCAAACCCTTCTATGATTCTGTGATTTGCCTGACTGATGCATCCAGCCACCAGCCTTCGTACTCACTGCTGCTGAAGACGCTGTCGGCCAGCCCGAGGTGCGCTTTGTCCAGCTCCCCTCTCCGCTGAGCTGTCCTGAATACCTCCTCTGAGAAGTCCACAAACTCCTCAAAGCGGCTCACGGAGGGCAGGATCCCCCCCTTCATCTTGCTGGGCATCTTTGCCTCCTTGATCTCTTTGCACAAGGTCCCCTGGAACCAACACACAAGACAGGGCACTCTCAGATCTGATGTGACCCCAGCGTCATTTCATGGCACGCTGAGGAACAGGCCATGCTGTTTGGTCCTGGAGCATGTCCTGCAATGCCAGCAGGAGACCAGGAGAGCTTGGCTCCAACCATCTGACACGCTGCCATCACTCCCACAGTGTCCCACTACTCTTTATGAGGGAAACCCCTTTGGTTTGACCATCCTGGTAAGAAGAGGCACCAATGGCATTTTGGTATATTGTGTCCCAACCACCTCACACAGACACAATTGTAGATGCAATGAGGGTCTAGTCCTCCCAAAACCAAAGAGCCAGATCCCTGCCTGATGTACAGGCATACTGCCTTCAATCAAGATCATGTTAGAAGTTTAGAAGATTCTGAAGGAGGTCAAACATCACTCAGGTCTACCTGGGCTTACTCCTACTGATACTCACAATGCATTTGTTGAAGCTGCTCTTGGCCAGGAGCAACATGTTGCCCAGGACAGTGTTGAGGAAGGACGAGGGGAGAGCTGAGGAAGAGCCCCACATCTCAAAGACGGAGTCACTCAAGGTAACCAGGACCTGCAAGCAGCCGAATGGGTGGACCTTATTGCAGACATCTAGAAATCCTCTCAGCTCTGGTTCCAGGGAACTGAAGATCTCGCTCAGCAGCCGGATCGTAGGTTCTTCTAGCCTTAAAAAACAGAAAAAAGCAAGGAATGAAATGGGGAGGGGCATGGTCCTGTGGCCAGCTGCAGAGCCAAGGGCAACAACAAAGAAAGGATCAAAGCATTCTTCTATATGGTAGTGGAGCCTGTTTACACTTGAGTCATCCTTCTACTCTTCACCTTCTCTGCTTGTGGGAGGATGTTGAAATGTCCTGTTTGCCAGCCAAATGAAAAATTTGAGTGTTTTTATACTGATATTTTTTGTACTGTGGAACAGTACATTTTCACTGTATGACATTCCTAATAAGGAAATCAATCCCATCAAAACATAGGGTTTTGCATGAAACATAAACCTCGCTTTCTGCTCCACCCTGAAGCAGAGGCACTTCTCGGGGGGGCAGAACCAGTAGCTCACCCTCTCTGCACACCCAGCTATGATGCCCCCCGGTTTTTGCTATCCAGGGTGCAAACCTGAGACCACTTAGTAGGCATCAGGATGGTCAAAAGCAAATAAAAATCCCTCCAATCAGTTCCTCAGGCTGTTCCTGTCAGACACTCTAGACCATGTCCCTGTCAGAGCAGCCAGCTGTATCTCATCACCCACGTACTGGCTCCGAGGCTTGGTGCAAGGAGGGTCCTCTGGAGTTGCCATGTTCTCTCCTCCCTTAGCGGGCGATGTCTGGAAGAAAGAACGGGGTGTAAGTTATGACCTGTCTGCCCTCCCTCAGAGAGGAAAACTTGAGATCTGGGTTTCATTTCTGCTGCCTCAAGTTGGAGTCCTGTGCTTAATGCTTAGAGATCCTGGGATTTTGTTGGAGCTCTCAATTAAGTTCAATTCAGTTCTCCTCTGTCATCAGGAGATCTTGAGCTTCCCTACCTTTGATGGAGGACAAGAGCCCAGGAGAGCTCAGGTTTCTGGTAGAGGTAAGCAGCCACTCCACTGTGCCTGCTGAGGCTTGCATCAAGCTGGAAGGAGGACTGGCTAATGGGACTAGAGGGGACATAGTCCTCACGCTTACCTCCAGCACCTGCAGGTCTGCAGTGTCCTGGCTTAGCTGGAAGAACTTCTCAATGAACTGCTGCTCCGCGGTGCAAAGGGGCTGCAGCTCTCTCAGCACTTGCTCCAACATCTGCTTAGAAACCATCAGGCACGTTAGAAAACCCTTCTAGCACACACTGAGGACACTGGAGTAGATGTCCATCTCTACCTGAGGTGACATCTAAGCCAGGTCAGCAGTACAGAGCATCTCTGCTTCTGCTCTGGGTACGCAGCGCTAGAGAAAGGCCCATGGGAGGGGTTGCAGCACTGGCACAGCCCCCATGGGACACGTGAACCCGTTGGAAAACCTCAGCTCCTTACCTTGGTGACATTGTGTTTGAGCGGTGTGTCCTCCTGACCTTCTCTGCTCCCAGGGAGGCTCCACCGGGCCTGCTGCCTGCTCCCCATGGCCAGCGGCTTCTCTAAGCTTTCCTGAAGACCTGCACGGTATGTTGGTAGGTGGTTAGACATCTCCATCCTTCTTGGCCTCTCCAGCTCCTTTGATCATTTTAACAGATTTAAATGTGTCTTTTTATGTCTGATCTTACGCTTGAATTGGCCTTTTCCTGTTGGATTCAGATATACGAGGGATGCAGGTTTTGCTCTCATTTTTTTAATCTGTTTCTCATCTGTTTCTCTTTTTCATTACTCTTTTATTCCACTGTCTGTGACGCTTACCCCTCTGCTATTCAGTGCTTAGTACTAACTCTTGAGGGCTGGGGAGGTGATAGGTGATATCTTAGGTGATAAGAGCATAAATCGGCAGAAACGTTTCAGGAAAAATGTTTGTTGCTTAGTTTTGATGGTAAATTGCCATAAAACCATATCCAGACAGGGGAGAGGGTTGGCTTTTTTCAAAAACTAGCCTTCTAAAATTATAAACATACACCTGTAAATTAATATACTTTTCAAACATTGCCTGTTTTTACCACACTGTTTTCTCTCTGTGCTTGGCTTAGGCGGAAAAGCAGAAAAAATTCTTTGAAATGTGCATTACAAAAATACTATTATACTCACTGAAAGAAATCAGTGGGGAAACATCCACTTTTTTTTCCTAATTAATTCTGAAAGCTGGTACCATTCCACTAAGCCCAGAGGTCCCGGGTGAGTCAGGCCAGCTCTCCAGCTCTCATAATATCCAAAATATTCTTATGCAAGCCACTACCTGCAGGGCTTTTACCTTTGGAAAGGATTTGTCAGATGTCCTACATACTGAGCAGAGATGAGAGCCAGCCCTGCTCACGACCTCATCCTTGCTAAAACCATGGAGAAAATTAATAAGCTGCTTCATAAGCTTTTTCCCACCTTTATGCAATGGGTGATGATAATTTCATTTGCTGGGAAGTGGCAAAAAACAGGAAAAATTATCTCCTCATAGCAAGCAGGAAAGAGTTTTATGAGCCTGTAAATTTTAGCATGGAAAAGGGAATGGGAAAACAAGGAGAAAAGACTTAATTATTGGCTTACAATTAATTATAAACAGCTTGGGGTTTGCCTTCTAAACTCTCCCATAACACTGAACCATGGCAATAAATCATCAGGGGGTATATTTAGAAGCAACCACCATAAATAATCCTTTATGAGGGCAGGGAATCAACCCTAAAAATTCACTGCCACAGTAATTGGTAGAAAGAAAGAGGCACGGAGAGCAGGAGCGAGCCTGGGACATCTGAAAGCCGGGATGAGGGATGTTATCAGGCAAGTGTCCTTGCAGCTGGAGCTCTCATCCATGCAGCAGCTCACCCCTGGGAGCAGCTGAAACCTCAGGGAAGACCTTGGGTGAGGTTCCTGCAGAACTTCATCAAAGGCAAACCTTCCCTGCAAATCAGCCTGAGACCAATTGATTTTGCAGAAAAAATATTTCAGCAGGAGGCTTCGAAGGTTCCCCAGGAGCTGGGAGAGGCTGTGGTGGCTTTCAGTGCCCATTGCTGCCAAGCTCCTTCAGCAGAAGGACACATGCCAGGGTGCTGGTGGCTCTGCTGGGCCAAGAAGAGGTCAGCTTCACCTCTGGAGTGAGGTGGTGGTCCCTCCTGCTTTGTCCACAGGGGCAGGCAGGTGAATCTCAGTTGGTGGCACCCCAGGGAAGGTGCTTTTTTGTGGCCGGCAGAAGCTCCATGGATACCATTTTCTAAAAATTCCCACTATTATTAATTGTACTCTACACTGATGTGGTTGGTGGCTTTCATTTTAATGTGCTGCCCACCTTAATGATGGACTGAGCATCCCCAACCAAGCCTGGGGCTTCCTACCTGTCCCAGTCCTCTTCTCACCCCGGGGAGCAAAGGACAGTGATGGCACAGCTCAGCACCACCAAAACTCATCACATCTCATCCTGTCAGCAGGAACAACACCAGCAATAAGTGGGTGATTTATAACAGTGCAGTAACAGGCTTGTAGCCATCAAGGTGTCCTTCCGTCACTGCAATAGGTTTTGCAGGCACTGGATGTTCTCCTGGGATTTTAATTACTCCCATTTTATGGGACTCATATAGGTATTAAAGACAGACAAAGTACATTTCCCAAAAGGGGATCAGGCAGGCTGGCTGCAACACTTGCCCTACACCATCTTTTTTGATATTTAACAAGTCCATTTTCATAAAGGGCTTCTTTGATAGCGTTCCCTGCCCTACAGTGTCCCCCGTTTTAATGGCTTTCTGAGCAGACCCAGCTCTTCTCTGGGAGGATACAAAACTTGGGTGTTTTTATTTTCTGTCGCCCTGCAGAATTAAAGACCCTTGCTCAGAGCCCATCGGTCACTTTGGAAATAGGAACCAAGGCCTCTTTATCCTACACACAATCTTAGTTATTTCCTTCTGTTTAAATAAAAACCAATCACCCTTCTTCAGGAAACGGCGTTTGATCACATTATCCTATAAACCATGGACTGGAGTTTGCTTCCCCACTGCTAATTCCCCAGGCTCGCCTGCTGCCAGCACGTTCATTACCTCTTATCAGGAATTCCTATTTTTAAGCCAGAAAGACCCAGTGCCAGGAATGGCAAAAGCAAGCAAGCCCTGGAGAGCCATGTGAACTGGCCATGTCCTGTCCCAGTAGGTTATTGCCGTAACAATATGGGAGATCTTTCCCCAGGCACCACATCCATGATAAGCTGGAAAAGAAGCACAGGAGCAACACTCTGTTCTTCTCGGAGTCCTCCACTGAGGCCATTCCATCCTGGTGACCAACCCATCACTGTCTGCTTGAACATTGGTGTCCCTCCCTGGTGTCCAGATAGCAGGAGGGGGGGCTGCCAAAGCCTTCAAAGGATGGTACCCCGGATCCAACGAGCAATGCATTGAGTACTCCACCACTGCTGGGTCCCTGCCACTTCCAAAGAGGGAGGAGGACATGCAAGGTGACAATGTGTGGTGTAACAGCCCCACAGGAGAAGTGTCTTCCTTTACAGTTCCTATGAAATGCTGTCCCTTTTCAGAAAATCCATATCTCAGCATTGTCCTGGGATTGTTATTACGGCCTCTTTTTATTGTCCTGTTATCTTCTTGCTATAGGCTTGTCTCAGTCCTCTAGCGTCAGTGACAGCTTGTAGCAACAGGTACGACAGGTTAACAGCATCACACACAAATAATTTCCTATCATCTCTTTTCAGCATGTCCCTTTGATTTAATTGCCTGTTACCTTGGTTTTAAATTACAAGAGAGTAATAATGTCCTATTGACTTTCTCTACACGACTTAATTTTTCACCGTTTTTATCATGTCACTACTTTTATCATGTCACTACTTTTCTGCTGGAACTAGTGGAGAGGTTTTGATCCCTGTTTTTTCCCCTCTCTTGGCCCCATAGTGTGGCAAATCATTCTGGCATGGAAAAATATGTTTCCTATGACTATAAAGATTTTTTTCCTGGAGGTATTTGCTTTCTCCATTTCTAGCAAAATTTCAAAAAGGAACATTTTAATTAAGGATTAGTATCTGAGCTTCTACTGTCTCTTCCTTCCTTCAAAGGAGATGGATTTTTGAAAATGACAAGTGGTGGGGAGAAAAAGCCCCAGTGTTTTTCCTTTTCCCCTCCTTTTCTTTCCAGTGGCAAAAGACTATTTAGGTGAAAATTTCTTTCTTTCTTTTTGGGACTTGTGTTCTCCATGGCAAGTAAATGTTCTCTGCCAGTACTGCCCATCATGATTTTGTTCCATTCCACTTTCCTGGCTGAGTGTCTTTCCCAGGGGAGCTGGCACAGGGCAGGAGGAGCTGGCAGGGGTGGTGGGTATGTTGAGATACCCAAAAATGGGCGAGGAGAACTGGTCATGTGTCCTGCTCTTCATCCACAGCCACCAGTATCTGGGCGCTGCAATCTGCTGCTGTTGGTCCAGCTTGGACTGGGACAGACTGGGGCAGTACTGGGAGTGCAGCAAGGGGGTAAGCAGACCCAGATCCTGCTTCTCAGTGCTGGTCCCCCCTTCTGCGAGGCTGGAGCAGCTGCAGCTGCTGAGATGCAGAAGAAAGCCATGCCCAGTGCTCCCACCTGGAGGGATGCAGGACCAGCCAATGGCCGCAAGACTCAAGATAAGGAGGAACCTTCTTCTGTCACCCCAGCGGGGGAAAAGCTGCCAGTAGAAGCACTGTCCTATTCCCACTCTTGTGCAAGGTGCTGCTAGCACAGGGTCTTTGTGTTCCTGCTCGAGACTCATCAGGTTCTTCATGGATCCACAGAGCAGGGAGGAGATCACAGCAAAACATGCAGATATCAGCTCTTCCCTTTATGCCCAGTGCCCCAGAGGGCTACAGAAGTGGAAATCATGTCCAATGGTCTGATCCTGCAGCCTGGTGAACTTCAGGGTAGCTCCCTCCAGTTGCCCATGGCCCAGGCTCCCTGACCATCCCTTGTACCCCAATCCCTTCGTCACCCTAGAAGGTAAAGGATGGGAAAATATCAGGGCAGCTGGGTTGGACCGGGGCTATTGGTGCGATGGCTCTGTGTGGCCAGAAGAGCCTCTGCAGGGAGGCAGAGCCCTTCGCTGGGATCCTTCAGCCACCAGACCCTTCTCCTTCCCTCGGCTTCATCCTCTGGCTCCGGGATCTGGATGCGAGTGATGAAGTAGGTGCAGAGCTGGAAGGAGCTGCGCTAGTGTTCTGATAGACTAAACACACCACCAGAAGTGGTTTTTGACATTCAAGCAGGGCCAGGCTGGCATGGAACTTTCCATTACAGTGCTTTGTTTTGCTGGAGGAAAATGTGACTTCTGCGCAATCAAAAACTTCCAGAGGAGACAGATCAGTTTCTCTTTTTATCTCCAGAAACACCCGACTGGAATATTTTGAGTCAGATGCAGCGATTTCTGTTGAAATGATCACCTTGGGACAACACAACCCCGCAGTCAGCTCACTATGAAATCATCCTGCTCTCGCAAATATTGCTATGAATACACTCGTGTCTTCAGGGACAGGCTTGGTGCCATCTCTGTGCAGGGAAAAGAGTGTCTGAGGAGTCTGTGACCAGCTCTGCTTGGATGAAATTGGGAGCAGGCATTAGACAGACAGTCCCACGTCCCCCTCTCCTATGGCTCCTCAGGACACGATCTCAGCCACCCATAAATCACTTCTGAGTCCTGCAAAGGGAAGGTGCACCAAAGCTGCGGCTCTGAGAAGCAATTAAACAAAACTGGATGATACAGGGAGCTACAGCTCGCACAAAGGCTGCCTGGTGCGAGGCAAGAGTCAGCTTTGTCACATACAGACACATACAGCCCCAGCCCATGGAGGAGAAAGTATATTCACAGCACAAAATCTGGGGAAGACACCTGGGGAAGACACCTACTCGCACAAAAACCACTGCACAAAAGTCATATCTGCAAATCACTCACTTCCTTTTCTTCTTCCTAACAAGAAGGTCTTGGCTTTTTCAAAAAAGGCTTTGATTTCCCGGTCATAGAGTCTGCTGAGGTTCTGGGCATAGACCTGGAGAGACAAGACAGACACAGGAATTCCTGATGTACCTCATCTCTCTATGAACAGCACCCATTTCACAGCTTTTCTTCAGCTGCCCACTTAAAACAAAAGCCAGTCGATGGCAACTGAAGCAGATCTATTGGTTTTGGTGTGTAAAACCTTCTTAAAAGGCAAAAACCAGCATGAAAAATAGAAATGAATCCTAAGTGATATAAAAAGAAGCAGCTCCGTTACTTAACAATATCCCTATTAACAGAAGGGAACGAGGACTTTAGGATGCCCCTTCTCTGGAATTGTTGAAATAAAGCAGTGTTGAATGAAGTACAAGATTAACCACCTTCATTTACTACTTATCGCTCTCGTTCAGCAGAGAAATGGCCAGATGGAAGCAAGAAGACCAAATTTTAGCATTTCAGACCTTTTCCTTCAACACAACGTCCGCCATCAAGTCCCAGACTGCCTTCTGTCATGTACAGAGGTCCAACATCATGTGGCCGAGTTGGCCAGACACTCTCCTAGAAGGGCCAAAGGCTGGAAGCTGGTGGGTGGCAGGGGTGTGGTGAAACCAAGTCCTCACCACAAACTGACCAGTTTGACTAATCTGTTCCCACTGGACAGTTTGCAATATTTGCTCAGGATTTCAGCTGTACCTTGGGGAGATCAGAGAACAGAACTGGGTTGGCATTCCTCAGCCAGGCCATGAGCGGGGTGTAGGGGACCAGTTCCTCATGGTGGAGTCCATGGCTTGGTGCAGAGAGTTTGTCAACGGGTTGACCAAGAGCAGGGACCTGAGCGTTACCCTAAAGCAACAGAAACAACAGAAAGAGTCATATAAAACAGCCTTGAAAAGCTCTGGGGGGGGGAAAGCATGTGGAAAGACCTCTTTGGGGAGACACTTTTTGGAGAATTCTCCCCTATATTGCCCTATTTTACCAGCATATTTAAATCTCTCGGGATTTCGAGCTGCCACATGAAGAGCAAAGCCCACCTGCAGCTCGAAGATGCCAGTAATGTGACCAATGAAAGAGCTTTCGAAGTTCTGCTTGAGTGTTTCAAACATGATCAGCTGCTCAGCCACAGACTGCAGTTTCCGGTAACCTTGAGGGGAAAAAAAAAAAAAAGAGAGAATATCGTGATATGGAGCAGCTCGGACCAGCATCATGGGTGCAGACCAACATCACTCAGCACAATGGCAAATAAAACAGCTCTTCAAGGAGCAAGTTCTGGGATAAATACCACCACCCATAAGCCAACATAGGGAAAAGGATTTGTTGTGGTACCAGGTGAATACAGAGAGGGAGGGAATTTAAATTAAAAAAAATAATAATTGCAAAGCATCCATGAGACTGACCATGGCCAAGGAGAGATGCTCAGCCTCTTCACAAGGAAAGCACAGGGATTTGTGCCGGGATCAAGTCCCTGTGCACAGACAGGTCTCCAACAACACCCACAGTGGATACTGCTACAACCAATTATCATTTTTCCGTGCTCAAGTACAGAGAACTGGGTTGCTCCAGGAGACAACAAGAGCTAAACATGTCTTTCCACCAGTTCCTTTCTGAACGATAAGAGGTGTTGTACACTGATGGCAGACAACGATGCCTTATATCCAGGTATTTAGAGGAATTGCAGAGATGCTTGTTGTAAGTTTGGCTCAGCTGTAACGTAAACTGGACCAACCAGTGCCTGGTCCAGCAGGAGGTGCCTACAGACCTGCTGGTAGAGTGTGGATGCCCCAGCTTGGTTGTTTGCAGCATGGACTGGATTTCCCTAGGAATGGAGCTATTCCCCCTCCCCTTCCACCTGATTTTCTCCGTGGATGTTCAGAGGTAATGTTAAATGGCCTTTCCCAGCCCTGCTTGACCGTGCTTCTGGGAGAAGCTGCTGAAGACTTTGAAAGCCACAGCACTATCTCCAGAGGAACATTGACCCTTCAAGGCCGTTTCCCCAACTCCCAGCTCTGGGAGCGCTGCAGGGAAATACTGTTTGTAGCTCTGCACCTTGTACCCCAGCTCAGTGCTGCTGCTTGACTTCCCAAATACGTGCTTGACTTCTAATTTCTTTCCTGCTTGTCCCAGGCAGCCTGCAGGGCTGCCCAGCAAGGGTAAGAGCTAATTCTCTGGAAGCCCTTCTCCATCTTCAGGGGTTTCAGGGCACCTGTGGAAGCTGGACAGCATGGAATGGTGCTGGGTGAGGAGCACAGGTTGTCAATGAGCCGGTGGCCGTGCTGTCTGCAGACATAAATCTCTGATCTCTACTCACCGGGCTGTATCTGGACGTTCATGCAGCCAGACAAAGCCTCTGCTGCAGCGATGCAGGCTCTCACTCCGCTGGGGCTGGAAAGATCCGCCTGGCTCAAGGCATCACAGTGTTCCCTGCTGAGGTCGAGATGGGTCTGAAAACAAAGCCAGAACAGAACAGGTACAATCCCATCCAGCTTCTCACCCCTTCTCATCCCATCCAGAAGTGCCGCCTTCAGCTGCCAGGCTGCATCTGCCCATCAAGGGGACCACGCTGCTCCGTCCCCACCAAAACCAAAGGTTTGCAGAGTAACAGCCGCAGCAGTCCCAGAGGAAGCCCTGGCAAACCTCATCATGGGTTTCCAAAGGGCCAGCACCTCTGGGGTCACCGCCGGCAGCAAAGTGATGGGGAGGAGAAAGAAAAAGCCAAGGAAACCGCAGATTGAGTTACTCAGAAAAGAAAAGGTCAATGGCAGAGAGGTCACCATAAGCAGTGGAAGGGAGGATTAGCTGTGCTATTACAGCACAGTTCTTGCATTTATGGTACATTATGTTTGTAAATAATTTCCTTTCCCATATTCCCAGAGCTCATCAAGAGTCTTTCCACCGGCTGTGAGTCCTTTGTGCTGGTGTCTGTGTGGCTGTAGGGACTGCAGGGAAAAGCTCCCTATTCCACCACAGAGGCTGGGACAGGCTGATGTGCCCAAAGGCTTAACAGCTCAGTTACCTCCAAGGGTGGGGAAAAAAAAAAAAAGAAAAAAATAAAGCAAAGGAGAGAAAAGGAATGGGGAGCCTCCCATCAGCAGGAAGAGAAACTACAGGGTGCCTGGACAAACAGCTTCTCCAAGGCTCCTCTCCAGGGCAAGAGGGAGCCCCCAGAACACTTCTCCCATGGTACATGTGTAGTTTGCCCCAGGACCCATCAAAGTCCCCAGTAGTTTCTCTGAATGTGAGAGAATGTGAGGTTATCAGTGCTGATGGGAACATGCTTTGACCAGGGGCAGCTGTTGCTGCTCTGGCTCTAATTGCTCGTTATGTACTTTGCTTTTGTATTCCTGGGTAATAATAACTGGCTACTGAAATTTCTATTATCTGCTAATGAGAGCCGGTTTTCCCTAGTACAAAGATAAAAACTGAAAGCCACTAAGTGGAGGGAGGAAGGAAACAACTACCCTCAGTTGTAATTGCTTCCCACAAAAAAGCCCACAAACCAGACACAGTGATGCCTGGAATTTGAAGGCACAAGGCTGGGAGGATCTCAGGGTTTTGGGAGGAAGGATAAAGTACTGCCCCAGCAGCCTCTGAGCAGGTAAGGAGAAGGTCCCAAAGCTGCTAGTGAAAGGCAGACCACAGCATCCCAAGTGAAAGTGGAAGATCCTTGGCATTACATCATTTGATTCTCAACTCGACCATAAAAAGGACCATCGGGGACTCCTCTTATGGCCCTGGACCACAGTGAGGGTACTGCATATTGTGTCTGCTGCTGCTCCACCTGTAGTCCATCCCTGCTGTGTGGCCATCCCTATATTCTCAAGACAACAAAGTCCCTCATTTCTGGCCAGAGAAGCTCTGTAGCCTTTGCAGACAGATAACAGTTTTCAGAGTGTCTGAGCTCACTGACAGGTTTTTCTTTTGACAGATTCAAGAGGCCGAAGATTTATGTCTTCGCAAATCCACATACCGTGAGGAAGAGGATCTCATCCATCAGCTTTGTCTTGTTGGAAACGATGCGATGTAGCAAGGAGTTTTCCTGGTGGATGTGGTCCATCTGCTGCTTCACGCTTCCCAGTAACTCATCGTAGATCTGCAAGGTCTCCTCCACTCTGGCCACCTCTGCCAGAGCCTCATCAATGGAGCTCATCAGCCGCGTCACCTGCTTCTCAGAGGAGATAATGGCTCTAAGGTTGGCCTGTGAAATGGAGAAAGAGAGGGCTTCAGCAGTGTTGCAGGGACTGATGGCCACCTGACCTCCAGCCTCCCAAGTCAAAGCAGAGACCATGTCATCATAAGGTGCAAGGTGCTGTAATAACTGCAGCTGTCCTGCATCATTACGTGGTCAATGTCTTATCTTTGTGCTTGGCTCAATGCTATATGACCAACCATCTGCAAGTCTCAAGTCCAAAACGCCAGAACAGATCCCTTCCTTCAGCAAGATGTAGGCTCAGAGCACTTTCATCTGCCACAGCGAAGAGGCTCCTGCAGAGTCACCGGCCAAATCTGACCACGAGCAGAATACAATCTTTGTAGGTTTGGAGAGGTTACCCAGCCCTGCTGGCTCCTGCACCCCACGTTTCCCTCTCTGCACTATGAAAGCCCCAAGTGGACGCTGCATGGTGTCTCCAACCCTCAACTGGTGAAGCCCTCTGAGCTCCTGTGTGTCCATCCCACGCTGTATGTAAGGAGACGTGCCAGCTTTGAGGCACAGGCTGTTTCTGCCTGGCTCTAAGTGCATTTCTGCAGACCCTGGCCGTGCCAAGTGCCTGTCACAGCAGGTTTAGCAGAGCTCTGGGCACTGCCACTGCTGGCAGGGTGTCACCCGGCTGGGCTGCTCTGCCAGTGGAATTAATAACGGGGGAAATCATGCATGAGGCATGCACATATCTATGTCGCTCATATGGAAACCCAAGGCACAATTTGCCCAGGGAGATCTCAGGCACTTTTTTTTTTGACGGGTGGTAGGGACATAACGGCGTGTTAATTGCTGCTGACAAGCTCCACTAGAGATTAACTGCTTCCAAATGTTAATTGTGTCATTTTCAGGGCCTGTGCACCACGCGGAATATCAAAGACAACAATCAATAGGCACGGGCCTGGGAGGCACGAGGCTTCCAGACTGCTTTTTTTCTCTACATTAATAAAGCTTTTAAATAAGTTTGTCTTCGCTGATATTTCAATTACCCGAGGTCTTTTTCATTAAATGAAGAACAACAGAAGTATCTGCACCCCTCAGCATACCCTGCGCTGTGCTCACTGGTGGGAAATGATAGGAGGAAGAGAAGCAAAGTCTTCCCAACCCAAGTTCAGGTTATGGTGGCTTGATCCTTCCCCGTGGTCTGAACTAGGAGTGTGTCTGAAAGCACAGTAGATGCTGGGCATCTAGGGTCCCTGGGTTAGGGGCTTTCTCCTTTTCAAGCTCCACCTGCATTGCTATGGGGATGAAGAGGAGCTGGCAGCTCCATTGCAAGGGTGGTCCATGCAGGACAACATGCTGGAGCACGTCCTGAAGTGTGTGAAGCCCACACCTGGACCGGTGGCTTCGGTCTCCCTGGCAAAGCATGGATTACACTCTCCTGTGATGTTGGTAGTGTCATTCTGGGAAAGAAAGGACTGGGGGGAACGGCTCTGGGTGTAGGTGGGTTCACACAGGATGCGGAAAGGTCAGAGGGATTCTGTAGAAAAGCAAAGCCTGATATCACAGCAAACGCAGCAAAGCATCTCTACCAAAGGGTGGAGATGAAGCTAACCCAATGCCAAGTGATGCAGCTTTCCCGGGGAAGGCAGAAGTTTCACTTGCCCCCAGGATTTGAAGCAGGTGTGGCTAAAGCAGGTAGATCCTCATCTCCAAAAGCACCAGTGATGTTGAGCCGACGCTCCTTTTGCCCGGAGCCCAACCATCCCAGGCAGGAGGGAGCAAACAGCCCCACTCCCGGACTGCTGCTTTCCAGCCTCACCACGGGGAGCCCTGCCCACAGCTTCACGCTTAATTAAATGTCCCTAAATTACAGCCATAAACCTCCTGCAGGCCTGTTGCTGTCCTGCCTTCGGATTATTTTATTAGGGCTTAACGGACCCAGGGGGGTTTGCCAGGAGCAAAAAGCATCACCGGGTGCAGCAGCAGCAGGGCAACTGCTGGCAGAGAGGGCTCTGCAGAGAACCACCACTTGGGTGAGGGTAACAACCCTCCTGCTGGAAGCTGCCGGCTTTCCAGCGGGTGCTGGGATCCTGCAAGGAGGGATGGAGGGAATACAAATGGCAAAATCAGAGCTCGCCACTCCCCCGGCACCCTGCCTGCATTTTCCTCCCCTCCGAAGAGAATAAGAGCTTTTTCTTTGTGGGTGCAGTGCTTTGTGGTCCCCAGAAGAGCCAGGTTAGCAGAGGGCGATTAGTTTGGTAAGAGGAGGGACAAGGTGTCATCCCTGGTGTGTGGGGAAAAAAACATGCAAATATATGCATGTGCCAGTCCAACACGCTGGTATTAAAAACACTTAATATCATAGATTAAAGCTTAGAAATAGAAATGTCTCCTTGATTAATTTGTATTAGCAATAAGTGACAATTATTCATCAGAAGGCATTAAAACAATGTATTCGACAGCACCTGTCATCTCAAAGAACTTAATAGAGATTTATTAGTTGCTCTCACAGGGTATTTTACAGCTGGGAGACAGTCGCAAAGTGCCTGCAGGGCTTGCTGAGAGCCAGCAGGAGCAGACCTCAGGAGCTCGGTCTTCCAAATTAGCTACTAAGTTTCCAAGTGTAATAAGCCAGATATAAGCACAAATTGGGAATACAGCAAATACCAAGATGACTTTCTCTCAGATCAAGCGCTCAGAGCAAACAGAAGAGCAGCTGACGCCCAGAGATTCCATCCAGGCACCTTCTTTTTGGCTGAGTCACAGCCCCTGGCCCCCTTACCTCATCCAGCACGTGGAGGTCCTTGCTCAGCTGCTCTGCAAAGGCCACCGAGTTGTTCACCAGGGGCTCGTACTCCTCCATCAGCCTCAACACATCAGCAGCTTCCTTTGGGGTCATCTCCTGGTACACGCTGAGCTCCTCCTGGCTCTCGGTCTCTGCAGCATCCTTCCTGTCTTCTTGGGGCCTTTGTCTCCCTGCATGGACAGGAGGAGATGCAGAGGTGGCCAAAACCTTCTAGTTATGTCATATTGGCCCCAGGGGTCCCACTGAGTCCAAGTGACACAAATCCAGCGGTCTCAGTCTGCTGGTGAGTTCAAACAAGATCACAACGTGGAGCAAAGAGAGATGTGGGTGGGATAAAGGGCCAGCTTTGTAAGAGGGATCGAACAGATATTTGAGACTTAATTTGAGCTCTGGTTGTGTTGTCACTTGCTCACCTCTCTAGGATTGTGTGTTGGGGCAGGTTGACACCTTTGTTATACAAAGCTGAGACAAATTTCAGAGATGAACAGGCTGCTTCTGACCAAACATACTGATAGTTATGTGTTGTAGAGTAAAATATATTTTTAAATCCATATATATATATCTGTAATTTTTGATATAATGCTGGGGAACGTCCCCCAGCAGGCAGCCAGTCTCCCCCTGGCCTGACGTTACCAACACTTTACTGCTCACCCCCCAGCCCAGAGTGCAGACAGCATCTCTGACATAAGATAAATTGTCCATCCATTTTTCTTCCCAGCCGAGCTGTGTCTCCACAGCAAGGATCGATGGATAAATCAGATGATTTTGCCTCCAAATACACAAAACGTGGATCTTCCTGCTTCTTTCTCACCAGCACCCACCTCAGCCCCTCCCGTCATCCCTCTTCGCTCTCCAAAATGTATTCACCTCCCGTTCCCAAAAGCGATGACAGTGATGATGCAAAGCACCCAAACCACTCCGAGGGTGACACGGAAACTAATTACCTTCCGCTGCACAGGAGGGGACATTCACAAAGGTGACAGAGCCGGCGAGGAATCGGTGGCTCAGCTTCCACAAGCATCTGATAAAGGTTTTCTTCTCGTCAAAGCTGCTAGTGGTCCACTTGTACACCTTATCGAAGTGCAGATCAAAATCCAGGCTTGCCTAGATGTCAGTAGTTAATTAGCACGTCAATTAGGTGCCACTTGCCACACCACATCCACTCAGCACAGGTTTGCAGCACATTTTAAGGGCAGGAACTGATGTTGTGGCAACACCTTGGGCACCAGGAGGAAAAACACCTCCTGGGCAAAGGAGGGAGGGAAGGAGGGAGACACATCTCTACCCTGCAGTTTCAACCTCTGGGGTCTTTGGTGGCCCCAAGAATCCCCATGGAGACCAGCACAAGGCTTGGATGTTAGAGAAATAGGAAATAATCACAGGCACGATAAAAGCACTGAAAATAGAAGGATGGACAGTGATTCTGACCCTAGCAGTGGACACCAGGACACTCATAGTAGGTCAGGCCAAGCAATCAACCAGTCCCAGTGTCCTCACCCAGCATGCTGATCTTGTTTCAGATTATATAAATCCCTCACCTTTTACTGCATGTTTCAGGAGCTGATGAGAATGCTGATGAGTTTTGACAGTGTCCAGTGGCAGATGCTTGGGAGAAAAAGCATTCAAAGGGCAAGAGCAGAGTTATATTGCCTTCAGGATTCCCTGCCAGCCTCCAGCAGCCCGTGACCCAGCAGCTCGCTGAGCCAGGGGTTGTATCCCCAGCCCGGTGTTTAACAGCCCTTGAAGGACCTACTGTCCCTGATTTCCTCTAATGGCTTTTCGAACTTATTCATAGCGTTGGCATCTACAGCACCTCGTGGCAATAAGCTCTGCAGTGTAATGATGTGCTGAATGAGAAAGCTGGGATCAAGGGGAGTGAGGCATTCGGGGTAAGCCCTGCACCCACCTCACCTCCCTCTGCAGACATTCCCCTCTGCCATCCCCATCCAACCTGAGATCTCAAACCTCTCTTCACTCCAGAATTGGGAAAACCCAGAAAAAACCCAGAAAAAAAGGCTTCAGCAAGTGGAGTCCTGAATTCCCCCCATGGTAACACGTGTGCTTCAGTTGGCATCTCCCAGTGCCCCATCTCCTGGCAGGGGAAGGTCACCTGAGATAACAGGAGCATGGGCTGGAAAAAGAGCACCCTTGGCATTTCCCCGGGTTGTTTTTCCTATATATATGAAATACATATATCTCATCTCTATAAATATTGCTATCGCTACGTCTATCTATGCCCAAAGGACATAATTTCGTGGAGGGGGAACACCAGCCACGGGAGACTGAGTATTTGCCACTAATCGGTGCGTGGGTGGGGAGGATAAGGGAGGCTGCTGAATTAGGGACATCCCACAGAAAGAAACTCCTTCCTGCACCATCTCATTAGCTCTGCAGCACAGCCCGATCTCATCTTCTGGAGAACTTAGGAGCCGCGCTTATAATTATTGATACTAATCATCATAACGTTGAGTTTATGAGGATTGATGCAGTCTTGCGACGCTTTAAAGGTTGCTTTCTAAACCCCCCCAAGCAATCCATCACATCACGCCCCCGCGCTGCTTTGTGGGCTCGGCAGCAGCCCCTGCGTCAGCGCGGAGCGGTGATGGCCTGGGGAGGAATTGACAGGGCTGGAGGTTTATGGCCTGCCTTGCGAGGAGGGATTAGAGCAGGGAGGCAGCCGTTAATCGCTTCATAAATATTAATAGCATTTGTTTTGGTCAAGGGAGCTGTAGCTTTAAGCACCGCTGGACTCGCAGCGTCAGGACTTTGCTGGTGCCAGGGAACAGACCTGGTGACCAAAGCCCTTGCTGTGCCTGCTGAATGTCGACCCACGAGCTGGGGTTTGGGCTGGAGTCGATGGTATCTGCTAAGCAAACTCTTGTTTTGATTTCCATGGACCTGGCAAGCTACGGAGCAGAGAGGGACTGTGCTGACTTGAGCACTGGGCTGCACTGGGGGGCCTGCTGCCGTGGTGGGACCATGAGAGATGTCACCAGGTCCTGGCCTCAGCCTCTCCTCTGCCTGGGGACCTTGGGCAGCAACTTCAGCTGGTGAGTAGACCCCATATTTGGAATGGTGTGGACAATTCTGGCGACCTGCGTTCAAGAAAGATCAATCCAGCCTGGAAGAAGCAATGAAGAGGGCTCCAGGCGTAATAAAAGAAAGAGAGAAGTCAATGCAGAAGAGGACACTAATGGGTCAGGCTGCTTAGCCTGCCAGAAGGAAGGTTAATAGGGGAGGTGACCGCAATCTAAAAATACATCTGCAAAGGAGAAGAGCTGCCTAACCGAAAGGACAACCATGGCACAAGCACAAACGGGGATGATGTGGGCAGGAACCCAGGCTGGGAGTGATAAGAAGGCTTTTGCCATCAGGACCACCAAGTTCGCTCTTTGCCTCGTAGTAGGAGGAGGTTCAAAAATATGCCAGCCCTTCAAGATGGAGTGTGGTCAGTTTTTCTCATTGGGATGGTAAGTAAGGGGGACAGGACTAGAAATCCTGGAGGTATCCTGTAATCCTAATTCCTCAGGAGCCACAAAGCAGTTTCGAAGACTTGGTGGCACCAGGCTCATCTGCTAGAGGAAAGCTCAGGCAGGATGAAAGTATATAGTTCCTTGTGCACAGGAGAATGCAAGGCAATGAGATACCGGTTCAGTTCTACCCATAGGACCAAGATGCCCTGCAAACCTGCAAACGTGATTTTTCCTTTCAGAGACACTGTGCAGATGTACTTTATTTGTCCTGGATGTAGAAATGGAAGGCTGTTCTTTTTCTCTTTTATTTCTATGCTTGTGAAAACCCAGGCACCTTGCCAAAGCCCCTGGAACATTCACATTAATAAAAAAACTAATTATAACAACTTTAACGACACTCTGCCAGCCCCAGCAGCAGAAAGGGAATATCTTGTCCATGGTTTCTTTCCCCAAAACCTTAATGTCACCCTAAAAGCACAGGCTCACACTGACTCCAGCTCTCTATAATCCCTCTTTCAGTAAATGCCTCCATTTAATCTTTAAATACCCGGTGCAAATGTCTGTCAAGAAGCTTTGTCAACACGGACCGACAGATGGGCCCGACAGTGTGTTCTGCAAATGCTGGAGACCTGGCAAGAGCCATGTTTTGCAGTCCCTCTCTGAGGGGTGCTGCAAAGAGCACCAGGAGGTCCTCTTCCTGAGGGATAAGGAGAGTTTGCCCCCTGATTTTGATGGAAGCTGTGTCCATGCAGCAGTCACTTCTCTCACTGCTCACCCTGGTCGGGATTTGGCCGGCCTGATGTTTCCCAACTGAGAGAGGGATGAGTCAGGAGGGAGGAAATCACTCCAGGCTCAGCATCCCCAGCACAGGCATCAGCCAGGAAGAGAGGAGGGAAACTAGAAGTCCGAAAACACTGATGTAGGATGATGGAACCATCCAGGGAGGGACCTCAGTTCACCATATGCTAGGAACCAGCTCTGAGAGAAGGCAGAGGGCTTTTAAAATTTTTTTAATGATGGTTGTGTCCTCACAATTAGCGTTCTTCAGGCTGGTTCAGTCCTATGTGAGAAATCACACACACAGAGCCCTTCCCACCATCTGAATGTATGGGCTGAACTCCAGAGGACCCGAATCCCCTTATAGATCCTGGCCTGGGTCTCTCTGGATTCATATTCACATCTCTCCCCCATGGTCAGTTCTGCCCTTTGCCACAGAAGGAAAAATCAGTCCTACCTGGTTGAGAGTCTTGCCATCTACCAGCTTCAGCTCTGCCAAAGGCCACCTGTAGGCTATCTTGTACTGCTCTCCTCGGTCTACCTTGACCTTCACCAGGAACGGCTGCATTGGCCTAAAGGTGTCCACTGTGGATGAGGGACAGGGAAGAAAAAAACCAACAAAAAACCACAGTGTTATTTTTAGCCCAGTACACAGCAGTTCAGTGTGAGTAGACAGGTACAGATGGACACACAGACACTGATGTTGTGTTGTGACCATATGGAGAGATGCTAGAGGGTTTCTACCGGCTTTTCTCTTGAGTATCTACATATGGGAAGTGCTCTACGGGGTCTAATCCAGAGTATTTTGAAGTCTCTAGGGGGATTCCCAATAATTTCAATGAGTTTTAAACCAGGCCATTGTGGTCTACACAAGCCACAAGTTGGGAGGGTTTGGACTAGGTGATCTCCAGAAGTCCCTTCCAACCCCATATCACTCTGTGATTTGACAGTTACATGCCGTATTGCTGGCCCTACAACAGGGTCCAAAACCACTGCATTGTTTGACTGATAACTCACACTGGTATCCCATCAAAAAATCAATTCCAGTGCCAATTAGCTTACGGTCACCTCTTGGTTCACCTGGGAGGTCCTCACTGTACATCGTGCTGGATATTATAATTTAGATCTCCCACATGAGCCAGATCTCTCCAGAAAGCTGACATGAACAGTTCCAGGGGTAACTCTTGTATTTTAGATGCTCCTGTTAGGGTGGCTACATCAACCCTTGGAGACATTCCTCCTGGCCTCCACTGAGGACAGAGCGAGCTGAAGCACATCATTTCGGGCAAACACTGTGGCTAAGGCTGTCAGAAACCAATCCTGCAGTAGGTGACAACACTGTCTAGCAGCTCATTGGCAGAAAAGTCTCTCCCCACTAAGTTTGTCAAAAAACCCATCTATTCTAACAACTTCTCAGGAGTGATGGAACAACTAGAAAAGCCCAGACCAAAGGAGATGGAAAATTTCCCAGGGCAATGGCACCTTCAGATCCTAATCAGGTAGTTACAGACTCATGAAGTGTCCGGGTCCTGTTAAGATTTTCACCAGAAGTCTGGAGACACAGAATGAGCCTGTAATGCTGTGTTGTGTTAGAACGGTTTGTTGCTGACCTCTAATGACAGATTTGATCAAGTGGTAAAAAATAATAAATTGGTGGAGGGAGCAATCCTGCAGACCCCAGGTCTCTCCAGCCAGCTAGAGATCACCCAGCATTCCAGAGGGAGCTCGTGCTTTTGTTGCCAGTTCTTGACATACTACACCGACACGGCACAGCTCCTGTCTTTGGATTAGGATTTCCTTCATTTAATCCTAAAATACAGCATTTCAGATAGTGGTCATATCTCTTCTCCCAAATCAGGAAAAGAGCCATCAGAGACCAAACGCTCCAACTAGGGCTGCAAGAAGCCTGGGGGCTTGCAACTCAGCCTGTCCCCTAACCCCCCAGGGGTTCTCACCCACAACGCAGAGAATGGACATCTTCTTCTTCTTCCCCATCTTCCAGACACGAACGGTTTCCAGCAGCTTCTTTTTCTGGGGGTTGAACACATCTTTTTCCAGCGAGCTCCAAAGGGAAGACATGGTGAGACCCCAACAGTGGGAGCTACGTGTGCCTCCCACTGGTGCTCGTGGTCACCTCAGGCTGCCCAGCACCTCCTGTGGAACACAAAGCAGCTGGAGAGATGATGGACATGGACCTTCTGGAGTGGGTTCAGAAAAGGCCGTGAAGATGCTCCAAGGGCTGGAGCTCAGAAACATTCAGAAACACTCAGAAACAACCAGCAGTTATTACAGCCCTTGACCCAGGTGGTGAGGGAACAAGCCAGGTGGCTAAATGTAACTAAAAAGTTACATGTAATGCAAATATTTTAGTCAGAATTAGGGATAAATAAAAAATATTTAGAACACGCACTTTGAATGTTTTTCTAAGAGAAGTTAATCACTGCTGAAATTTACCGGTTGCTCTGCAATGAACTGAGACACAAGAGACCTTCAGCTGCTCCCTCCCCTTCGCCATGGGGCTTCCAGCTCAGCCACATGCTTAATGAGCTTGAAATCACACCAGCACTTATTTAAACTTTTAAATTTAAAAAAAAAAAAAACAAAAAAAACCAAAAAAAAAACAGAAGAAGAGATTTTACTGCTAAAACGATTCTGTCACCAGAGCATCTCTGTGGATGCAGTTGTCCCTCACTGGCTTATCTTGGTTTCTCCATCTTCCCTGCCAGGTTTTCTGCCAGTGCTCACCTTGCCAAGGCAGGCAGGATGGCAGCCCCCAGCCCCAACCGACTCTACCCATTACTGCTTTTGAACCCACTAATTGGTTTATAATAGCACTCCAGCAGCAGCTACAGGAAAATGATTGAAAGCCAAAGGGATAGAGGGCTGATGGCTCCCTGATAAATCAGTGCAGGGAGCACGATACTTTCCACAAACATAACTGAAAAGCTGTCTGTGGTGGAGCAGTTACCCCCCCCCCTCTTTTCTAGAGACAACCTGTGAGACTTCAAGATCCCAGTGGGACCTCCCTGGAATCCCCACAGAGATGTCCATCTCCCATCCAGGTGGCTGAGAGCAGGGAAGAGAGCGAGAGGAAGAGCATTCAGAGACTTTACCAGCCACGTCTCGCTGAGGAGAAATTGAGGGATTTCAGTCGCAAGAAGCCTTAAGAGCAGGAAACAGTTTGCTGGTAAAATGAAAGCTTGAAGAGAAAAACAGGAAGCCAGAAGAACCTGAGCGAAGCTGCTGACTTGAGGTCAGAGCAGGAAACCCCCATGAGGAGGCTGCAGAGCCCGGGGGGGGGTGAGAGCTGGGGGTTGGAAGGGGGAGGGATTGACTGAAAGCAAAGTGAAATCTTCTCCTTTTCCCCTCTGTTTGGTTAAAGGGAGTCAAAGCACTGAATGGAGAACAGCTGTGGTTCAACCTGTAGTGAGATGCCATCTCCCATGTCCTCCTTCAACAAAGGTCTGGGAAACCTACAAGAGATTTAGGAGTCAGACAGGGTGCTAATGGCCCTCATTAAGCAAGATGCATAATCACAATGCATCATTTAGCTTTAAGCATACAGGAAGCCTGGTGCTGTTTCCTCCTAACACCTTGAGATACACTTTGGTATTAACCAAAATCCAGGTCCTGCTGAAGCCCAGGACCGTCGGCATTTGGAGACAGGGGTTGGTGAGAGTGCTTCCCCACAAATAGCTGAGGTCCATGCTGGGGCCAAACACAATAATCCAGAGAGAAGCCAGAGTCAGGAGCTAGGGATGAGGATTTGGGGGGTGGCATGGAGGAGTGTTCTTAAGGTCTGGCTGTGGGGCAGGAGGGCAGTGGCTGTAATTGATGCCTTAAAGACCACTCTCATGGCCCAGGTGGAAGAGTTGGTTCTTCCATCCATCCTTTGTGGTCCTCAGCTGGAGAGGAAGCCTGATACACTCTTTTGGTGCCCATGCCATATTTCTCTACCTCAGCATGGATCTAAACTGGCAGAACAAGGGCTTTCAAAGCCAGAGTAACCAGGAAGTGGCAATGGTTTAATTGAACTAGTCATTTACCAGGTGTGGATGGGCACGGGGGACACTGGGAGTCACAGTCCATAGTGAGCTATGGTCACTTCTTCTCCAGCGTGTTACAGCAGGGCCGTGACCGAACATGGTGAGGCCAGTGAGGTTGGGTAGACACCAGGTTAATGCCCTGGTGTCGTGTCTGGGTACCAACCATGGCCAAGCAAAGCTGGACCTACCCATCTGCTGCCTTGGAAAAATGACTTATTTCAATTTGCGAGCTTCAGGGACATGATGTGCACTCTGGAGGTAAATTAGATGGGGCAAGTGTTATGGGAGAGAGAAAAACGCGATGGCACCGCACAGCAGGACTGTGTTAACACGGTGTGGGAGGGTAAGGATGCTACGCCAGGGCTCCCATTTGTGATTTCATGTTATTTCCATAAACTCCATCTTCTCAACCTCTTCTCACTCACAGAGGGGATCTTCTGCTCTTCGTTATCATTCCTGGGCGTTACAGGGAGCGCAAGGGGGGAAACAGCTCCCTCGCATGAGCAGGATTGAGGAGAATAACTCCTCCACTGGGAGCAGGGAGGGGTTTTTAAGACCATCCTGAAAAATTCAGGAATAAAACAGGAAAAAAGGTGTTCCTGCAGGATTTCTGGCTCCTCTCAGCTGGTCCCAGGAGCTCGCAGGAAGCTGCTCTGTAGCACTGCAGTCCCAGACAGATCCTTCCAGGGATTATGTCCCTCCAGTCTCAGGGCTGGTGCAGAGAAGGAGGAACCAAAGCTTTATTTGCGCCTTCCGAAGGCTGGGGAAGAAAAAAAAAGCCAAACAAACCTTGAAAAAGCCGGCAGTGGCTGGCACATGTCTCTCCCTGCCCGCATCTGCAAACAGGATGAAGCATCTGTAAGAGTGATGCAAACGAGCAATTAATCTCAATTGCTGCCAACTCGTCATCCTAATGAATGGCTTTTAAAAATACAGGGGTGTTTTTTAACAGTTTTCATGCGAGGAGAAATTAGGAAATCACATGTACAAATGAGCTAATAAAGAAAAGGGAATTACGAGTGTGGAAATACAGCGTGCCTGGCATTAATTTCCCCACCCAATTCCGAATGCAGTAATAACTTGATTATTTCAGCATTCATGCTGAAGGAATCAAAACCATACAGCATTTGGAGTGTCTGATTGCCGTTCCCTGGTTGAGATTAGCAATCTGCAGTAGTTTGCCTCTCTCTTTTTTCCCCAAATGGGGGAACCAGAATACTGGTTTTGCCGCAGGGCGCAGCAGAGAATTTAAGCTATTTCATTCTCCGCCGCGGGGACTTGTAGTCATCATTTGATGTTGAATCTTATTTTTGGTGCTTAAAGAGCCTGCGTTCCCAGAATACCCAGCCATTTCAGTGTTTAATGGATGGATCCTGGCATTGCCCCTAAAAAAGAGGTGGTAACCAGGACTTCTCAGGAAAGACTTGCTCTGGACTATCAGATGGCCAAGATACTGCTGCTCCGAAAACGAACAGAGGTCCCAAATCTTCTCCTTGCTCCTACTCTGCCTTTACCTTCTGAGGGGACTTTCCAGAGTCCTTCCATAGCTTCCCAGCTAGTCTCATGTCCCCATCAGCTCTTCTGCTTCATTTGTCCAAAGTTCCTCAGCCATAGGACTTGTGTCTCTCACACACTTCGCCCTCACTCTTGCACCAGTGCTGACCAGCAGCTTGGGAACCCAGTAGGAATATCAAGAGTGTAACCTCATCCAGGGTCAAATCCCAGCTACTTTAGCCCATCCTCCTCCTTCCCAGGGAAAGCAGTTGGAAGCACGGTGTCGTACAACATGATCTTTGGTGTTACGAAGGGTGAGAGCTGACTTTTGATGCAGATGAACGAGGAGAGCCGAACAAACAATTTACCTGAAGACTTCCCCCTTTTTTTCCTTTCCTCTCCCAAGGACCGAACCATAAGCATTTCAAGAGATTCACATCCTGAATTTCCTCAGTAAATCTTCTGCAGTTGTGGACGATCTGCAGGGGACTGGTGCTCGGGAGCGTTGCCAACGTGCCCCGGGCCACGTCTGGCTGAGGCTCTGCAAGGTGCCACGTGTGGAGGGTAAAGCACCCAACACAGACGTTCTCAAAGCCTCTGTCACAACACATACGTGGGATGGGAGGAACTGAAATTGCAGAGGCAGCTGTGGAGCTGGCCTTTCTTAGCATTGCAGAGCTCTGCTTTGTAAACTCATCTTGCTCCTCTACAGATTTGGAGGGGAGTGGGAGAAAACAGGAGGAACAAATGAGCCAAAGGGTCCCCTGCAAGAGGATGGTGCTTCAGCACCCCTGGTTCCCGTCACTGGGCCAGGAGGGACCTGCTCTGCTCCACAGGAGGGTGAGCTTTGAATTTAAACATGCCTTGGACCTCCCAGGTGAATTTGAGGAAGGTTTTTCATTGCTTCCCTGTGCCGTGGAGCTGCAAGCTGCTGGGGGTGGTGCCTGCAGGTATGTGTGTGGTTTTGAGGTACAGGACCTAGCACATGGTAATCTCCATAGCCTGGGATGAGCTCTTTGTTACCTGCCTGGTGGCCTTCGCTCCTGACCTGCCAGACTGTGGTGACATCAGTGACCACATCGTACAGACACACAGTCCTGAGCCCACCCATCTTCTTCGCAAGACGATGCTGTTCCAGCGTAAAATAGTACAATTAATAAAACATATCGCCTTGCTTTCCCCCACCGTTTTCACCTCCTGTGCTCTCCTCTCACATTTTTGCTGGGCTGATGGTTTTCTTACATGCCCCAGATAACTCATTGAGCTTCATCTTCACTGCTCTTTCCACCCGCCTGCTCCGCTTTCATTTTTTATGAAGACTCTCTCTTGCTCTGCCAACATGCTCTTAATCTCACTGGTAAATCAAGGTGGCTGTTTGTCTTTAGCTCTCTATTTGCTTTCCTGAACACAAGATAAATCTAGGCACCGCGCTGGAGCTGGATCAAGAAGAAAGCTGATTTTTTCCCTCTTCCCTCCCTGTTCCCAGTTGTGCACAGCTGGCAATGGGCTGGGTTTGGGATCCTAGGATGCTCCCTCTCCATTTTCTGGGATGAAACTGGTAAAACAAACAGAAAGACTGAGAAATGACCTCTCCCAGGCTCTTCTGGATGAAGCCACACTGCAGAAAGCTCTGAGATATAACGTTACTCCCAGAGCCCAAACTGGGGTCAGCGCAAAGGCTCCCATTAACTTAATCCAATGGTCTCAGATTTACAAACTCTGGAACTTTTCCCCATCTTTCTGCTGGTCTCTCCAGCCACTGGATTAGGACCAGGATTGTAAGGAAGCCCACGCTCGTGGTGGCTTCCTTGCAGATCACAACACGCTGTGGAGTGATAGCCTGCAGCTAGAAATGGGAAATCAGGTCATGAACCAGCTTCTCCCTCAGTCCAGCATCAGAATGGGGCATGGATCATCTCCCGCTGCTTCTCTCTCTGCTCCCTGAGGTGATGGAGTTGGCTGCAGTAGCAGGGTCCGAGCAGGATACGGGTGTCCAGATGCCACCCGCCTGGTGCAGCTTTGCCCTGTCATCCTTCCCACAGAGGAATTACATGTGGGGTTAAAGAAAAAAAAAAAAGAAAAGAAAAACAACCCACAAACCACCAAACCAGCATTTCTAGCCGGGTTCAAAGCAGTTTCATACGTCTGGAAAGGATATAGCAGCACAATCAAGATTTATGAAAGAAAGAAAATATTTTAGGAGAGGCCGTTTGTTCTGTTCTATATCCCATAAAATCTCCAGAAGTTATTTGTCGGTCGATGTGGCAGCTTGGGAACAAAAGGCCACTCTGCAGATGAAGAGCATTAAAAGACACAAAGCACCATCTTTTTAGGTGGCAGATAATTGCCCCGGGGAACTCGCTGCCTCGGGAGCCCAGTCAGACCAATGGCTCCACAGCTGATGAAAACCGATCAGAGTGTACCTAAAGATACCTAAAGATAACCCAGGAGGGCTGGAATCGGTGGCTGTGATCCAGACATGGGGAGCTTCTTCTCTGGAAGAGCACATCAATGTGCACACTAGTGTAGAGCAGGAAAATGAAGTACCACGGTGGTAGTAACAGTATTTGCTGCCAATGGAGAAAATAAATCTGGCCCAGTGAGGCACTGGTTTGTTATGGGGAGAAGTGGGGAGGTATTTATTAGTATTCT